TACCTATTAGTTCAATTTTGTAACTATGTACCTATCTCTTTAGGCTCTTGCCTCTTTTTGAAAAGCTCTTGGAAAATATTTAAGGAGGGTTTGCTACGGAAAGCGCTCAGCGCATCACCATACGCACATTACCTGTCCGATCCAGGTGGTCCGAAGGTGCGATTGTCTTATTCTCTTCTTTTTGGTCTCGCCGTGAGTCAACGAGCAGTCCGCCAGGCCCCGTCTAAACGGTACCTATGGAATTTACCGCGGTCCTTACCTATCGTGTTGCACGGTACTTTGGGACCTAGCCTGCTGGTCTTGATATTGAAATAAAGTCCAATTATACCTACTCCCATTTTCTGCCGGAGGATGATGTGTTATGTTGTTTATGTTTGGGAGCCATTCGAATCTGAAATCTCAGATTATCCATCTTGTACATAGATGCTGAGCCCTGTTCTGAAGGTACCTATGTAAATGCATACCTGATACCTACATAAATATCTTAGCTTATTTTCAGTCTCAATTCTCGTATCACATACTTTTCTATGCATGGAGAAGTATGTGCACGTGTCAATGACGACGCACCAGTACATTTTCGTTGTGGATTATTTTCAATCTGGAATTTCATTCACCTACCCAGTTGTGTTCGATATTGCTGAGGCGCTTCAGCAATTCTGACCGGCGACTGTGGGAGGTGAACTGACTTAAATGCCCACACGGCCACGGTCGGGTTCATTTTCCGCCCAGTTTGTCGAGCTACATACGGGTGATGTCATCCGCGCCGGCGCCCAGTGACGCCACGGTTGCCTCCGATGACGTCATTGAGGCGTCCGCGTCGCCCACGCTCCCGCAGAGTCGGTGCGGCGGCGATGGAGTCCCAGCGGGAGGCAGTCGTGGGACGGATTCAGTTACGCGTGTTCACTCACCACGGGGATCGAGGCGGTAATGCCAGTCCTCCAGTGCGGGGCTGAACTCGACAGCTAAAGGGTTACTGACTTAATGGTCATTTAAACTTTCCTGGCAAGGGGTGCCACCCTGCACACGCACCTTACGTACCTATACCCTCTTGCGATGGCTGCGCGGGTGCCTCGTGCAGCCTGTGGTCCTGTTGTCATGGGTGGAGAATGTTTTAGAAAGTTACCCCGGCCGGCGACCAATAGTCGGAAAGACGATATGCTCACATTGTTGTTAACGGTCATCATAAGCAAACCCCTATTCTGACCCATGGAAATGGAATATTGGATGTTGTGTTTCTTAAAGGATGAGCGTATCGTATCCGACATTGGATCCGACATCGTATAATGTTGAGTTTTACAGAGAAAATTGAACGTTCGAACCAAAGCACTAAAATGGGTCACTGACATCCAGATACGCAGCTTTCTTCAATGTTGGGCAGCTCAAACTCCTATAAGACAAACAGGGGGGTCGATCCAGGGATATCGACCGGTCCCAGTCTCGTCAGTCGCTATAAGAGCGTTGAACTCCGCGTGGCGAGAGCACGCGTCCCGGTTACGACAATCCGAGTTCGAAGCATGATGGACGCTCGGTGTTTATGAGCATCCTGACGGCTACACTTATAAACGTTAACGGGTATGGTTGCGGTTGGTGGCACTGGCAGGCCAGTCGAAGGCAGTGAGGTCAAGTATTGGTTCGGAAAAAAGTGCGCCGAAGGCGCGCCAAATTTTCGAAACTGAACCCGATTTGAGAGCAGTCTTGGCATTGGCGACCACACGCGGGTCCTGCCTCCTGGGGTTGGAGCTTATGGTATGTTAGTAAATAGTTACCTGATTTGCAATATTACGGCCATGGCAGTGAACATTTGAAGAACGAGTTTTCTTTTCTGGTTTGGAGACAGCTTCTAGGATTTACAAGAGTGGAAAAGTTACCCCGGCCGCGCCGGGGTAGGCTGAAAGTTACCCCGGCCACGGCCGGGGTGGCCGGGGCAGGTTCTCCACCCATGCCTGTTGTGTTGTCGTCAGCTCAGGCCCCCGACCACACCCCCGTGGACCCATTCCTCTCAGCTCGGGCTCTAGTCACACCCGATTCGTCAGTCAGGCTGCAGGAATGTTCCAATCTCAAATACAGTAACCGCTGCTGTGGTGTCGGGTCAATCCGGTGACCTCTGCGGCGACATCAAGTCAATTCGGTGACCTTTGCTCCAGTCTGCAATGTCAGGTCAATCCGGTGACATCTGAGTGGTGTTGGATCAATCCGATGACCTCTGCTGCAGTGTCAGGTCAGGTCAATCCTATGACCTCTGCTGCAGTGTCACGTCAGGTCAATCCTATGACCTCTGCTGCAGTGTCAGGTCAGGTCAATCCGATGACCACTCTTGCAGTGTCGGGTCAGTCCGGTGGGTGACCTCTGCCGCAGTGTCGGGTCATTTCGGTGACCTTTGCTGCAGTGTCGGGTCAATCCGATGACCTCTGCTACAGTGTCAGGTCAGGTCAATCCGATGACCTGCAGTGTCGGGTCAGTCCGGTGACCTCTGCTACAGTGTCGGGTCACCCTACAGTGTCGAGTCAATCCGATGACCTCTGGTGTAGTGTCGGGTCACCCTACAGTGCCGGGTCACCCTGCAGTGTCGAGTCAATCCAGTAACATCTGCTGCAGTCTGCAATAGGTATTCATGTCAGTTTGGTGACCTCTACTGCAGTGCCAGGTCAGTCCGATGACTTTTGCCGTGGTGTCGGATCGATCTGATGAGTGATGACCTCTGCTGTGGTGCTGGCTGGGTCACCCTGCAGCAGTGTACTGTCAAATCGGTAACCTCTGCTGCAGTGTCAGGTCAGTCCGGTGCTTTTTCATGCAGTGTCGATCAAGCGCTGCGTCTCCCTGGATAGGTCCGAGGCCGCTGCAGTCGGTAAGAAGCTCTGATAGTGTGCTGCTGCTGCTGACGCTCCAGCAGCTCCGGCAGGCCTGGGGTCACCCCCGCCTGACCGTACGTACCACAGTGCGTCGTGCAGCGGCGCCGTCCCCCGGTCATTCGCTGTGCTCGGAGACCGGAGCCGGGCGGCGGGGGCGCTGTGCCACCCCTGGAGCGGGCCGCGGTGACCTGAGAGGCCACCTGTGAGCGGGGTCGGTGGCGGCGCGCCGCCGGCTCAGGTGCGGCCGCGCCGCCCAAGGCCACGGCGCCGCCGCCGCCGCCGCCGCCGCTCAACCCGCCCGCCCGCCGACCGGTGACGTCACCGGCTGCAAGGTCGGCCATCTTGGCGATTTGCGGGGTGCGTGCCGCCGCGGTGCCGGGCCTGGATTCGGCACCGGGGGGGGGGGGGGGGGCGACAGGTGGATGTGCCCCGCCGTCCCGGAAGCCTGGATCAGGTACCGCCCACGACAGGGTCGGTAGGTCGCTGGTTGTCAACAGATGGTATTTTGGGAAATTAGGTAGCCCTCCCCTGAACTGGGGTGTGGGAGGGGCAGTGTGAGCTGCGACCTTCGCATAGCGCAGCCCTGTTTGATCAATGACCATGGCGGCGACGGCTCATCGGGGCCTCTGCTGATCGCCGCAGCTTTTATGGTCTGTTCAGTTTGGACGTGCTTCCTGTCAGAGTTCTGCACTCGCAGCAGCCGTTTAGGGTCCTTGGGAGACATTCGATGCTTAGCGAAATATTTTACGGAATCTATTAGGCACCTACCTATTGAAGCCTGCAGAACTTTGGGACGGCTATTGCGACGCATAAAACACAGTTCGATGGTATCGGAAGAGCGGAATAGACAGTGCCTGCAAAGTTGTATTTGACTTTGTTTATGCTGATCTTGTTGAAAGTGTTGTGAAATGTGACCGGGCCGTGAGCAGCTGTGGGTATTTCGTATTGCCTATACCTGCTCAACTTACCTGCCTATAGACGCTAGCCAGTGACTAAAACTTAGAGTCCTGGCTTTACCTATGTGCTCTCGGGCGCCGCCCCTATAGAGTCAGTCATCAGTCATCGTCTGATCGCTCTCGTCTCGTCGAGCTTATTCATTACTCATCGATCTGATATCGCATCCGTGAATATATGTTTAACGTTTCGCTAAAGCTGCAATTAACAACCTTGGTCACTTCGTCCAAGGTGCTTCACAAAGGGGTAGGTAAGGTCTTGGTGATGATTGATTAAGCTCATTTATAAAGCCGCGGGAGTGATGGGGAGGTCACTGCAACTCGTGCTGAAGCTCCTATGCTGCACGGACGGGTGCAGATCGGGACGGGTCGACACCCGATCACTAACCTCCCACCGTCTCTGCGGGCGCGTTTTTCTCTGCGCCGGCGTCCATGGGATGATGTGCAGTTGAATTCCTGTCGGCTCGGTGTGGTGGCCTGTGTCCTGTTTGTGGTGCGGGAAGAATGGGACTGCTGGGTGCAGATGGGTTCCGGGAGCGCAATGGTCGCGGACGCTCTGTCTGACGTGCCACGGCGGACGGGAGCGGGGAGCTATTGGACAGAACGGCGGGCTGTGGCCGCTCCGACCCCGCTCTGCGCCGGCGTACCGTCAGTGTCGGGGCGAGGCTACCGGACAGTGACGCCGAACTCACCGGATACGACACAACGGGGCTGCTGCCAGCTCACATACCGGGGATACATGAGCGGGTAGCCCCTTACCGAACAGAAATCCCCTTAGCATTGTAGTCCGTTTGTAATGCGTATGTATCGTACTCGTGTGTGGGTATCCGCGGTAACTGACCAGGTGAACAGCGGGGTGCAGATGCGATGTTTCCTCTGTGTTCGCGGTGCCCGTATCTGTATGTTCGCGATTGGTCCTCCCGTGTGTTTCATCTGCTCGTGTGTTCACTGCGTCCGTTGGTGTGTTCGGTCTGCATCTTATACGTGTTTCAGGGCCCATCCGTGTGCTCACTGTATCTTATGTGCGCTCACTATGTCCGTCCGTGTTCACTATGTCCGTTTGTGTGCTCACTCTACTGTATATGTGCTCACTGTGTCCGTCTGTGTTCACTATGTCCGTCCGTGTTCACTATGTCCGTCTCTGTGCTCATGCTGTTCGTCTGCCGGCAGTGTCTCCGTCTGCCGCCGGGGACGGTAGCCGGCTGGCCGCCCTCCGCCACCGCCGGCCATGGACGGGCTCATGATGCCCCCGCCGGCCGGTCTGCCCCTGATGCCGCGCCAGCGCGCCTATACGCACACACACACGCACACGCGGCTGCAGCGCTCCGCCTTCGGTCCGGCGTCCACCCGGGCCAGCTGCAGCGAGCGGCTGCACCCGCGGCAGCGGAGCCGCGCGGCGCCGGCCGCCGACGGCCGCAGCGGCCCGCTGTACCGCTCCAACTCGTCTCTGGAGCTGGAGCCGACCGGCGGCGGCGGCGGCGGCGCGCTCCGCAGAGAGTTCGGTTCGCACGGCTCTATCGACGCCATCGGTGGCGAGGCGGCGTTCGCCGTGCTGACCGAGTTCCGCAGCCTGGACCCGGAGCTGGCGGCCGCGCGCGACGCCGACTCGGCCGACGCCAGTCCGCGGCAGCGCTCCCGACTGCAGCGGCTCTGGGACCGAGACCGGCGCGCCAGCCGAAAGGCCGGCGGCGCCGAGCAGTCGCTGTTCAGAAAGCTGCGCGGCGGCAGCGTCAAGGACTCGCAGCGGCTCTCGGAGCCCGAGACTAGCCGCTCGACCGACTCGCTGGACGGCGAGGCGCGCCAGGAGGAGCGGCGCCGCCGGCGCGCGCTCGTCCACTACGACTGCCAGAGCCTGCGGGTGAGCCTGGCGGCAGCGGCGCGCCGGCGCACCCGGCTCGACGAGCGGCACAACCGAGCCACGGGCGCCAGCGCCGCCTCGCAGCCGGCCAGCCGCTCCGCCGACGAGCTCTCCGAGGACGAGGAGCACGGCGACGACCGCAGCAACGACCTGGTCCAGAGGTGAGCCCCGCGCTCAGCCCCTCACAGGACGCCCGAGGGGAATGGAGGGGAGGGGGCATTCACAGATGTTTCTTTCTGCTGAACTGTTCCTGTTCGGTACCTATGTATAGTACGGAACAGAAGTAGCAGTAACTATATAGAAGTATTCTGCAATATAGGTAGCGGATTGCTCCTTATTGGGTAACATGATGAAAAGCGAATATACATCGCCTTATTCACAATGTCGTCCGCGCTCTGTCCGCCGGCAGTTGCCCTTTCTTTCGGAACGAGGTGGGCGGCGAGCGGGACCGAACGCTGCAGCTGGCGCCGAGCGGCGGACGGCGGCGGCGGGCGGCCGCGCGACCCGACCTGCACTGCCACCGCGCGCCGGCCACGTGCGGCCTCTCGGTGCTCGAGCAGCCGGCCGGCATCACCCACTGGCCGGCGCACGTCTGCCCCTTCAGCCGGCACGGCATGGCCATCGAGCACTCGAACGTCGGCAGCTACTACTACAAGGACTTCTTCCACGGCAGAGGTGGGTGCCGCCGCCGCCGGGCGCCAGCTGACCGCGGGGGTACGTCATCCTGACGTCAGATGGAGGCACGAGTGCCTCAGGGCAGAACTGCAGCGGTAGTTATGGGAGTCGATGCATTCGGTAGGGACCGCGTGTTTTAGCGGGCTCATAAGTTACTGTTTATGCTTTGGTAATAGCAGAAATATTGGTCTCACCAAGGCCTGCAAGTTGTTGATTGACCCAGTGCTTTAAACCTGATGTGATAATCAAGCGCATTTTCGTGAATTAGATGCTTTTCTGTTAAAGGGACCCTCCCACCTTAACATTAGATTTGAGTTGAGATAGCAAAAAATGGGGTCCCTGGCTCACAATTACCGGTTTCGGCACTCACAACATCGAGAAATGCCTTAAATCGGAAATATTGAATTTCAAAATTGCAGCATTTTGATTCAGAGGGGCTAATGCATAGGAATACCCCTCTGAATGTGTGACGTCAGCGCAGATATCTAACGATTTTTAAATGTTTGACTAAAACGTTTTGTAGCACGCGGTGGTATATGCTGCTTTGCGCGCAACAAGTGCCGCACTTTCAGCTGCCAAACTATTGCTTCCAAATAAAGTCGCTAGGAACAGCGGAGATCCCAAAAAGTAAACAAAAGTAAAAGTCTAATATCTTGAAAACCGGTGAATATTTTTCGGTGAAATCTGGTAGATATTCGTTTTCGCTCTTCCTGAACCGAGCGACATCACTTTCATGCCAATTCATAAACTTTTTTGAAGGTGGGAGGGTCCCTTTAATAGTTTCTTGGGTTTCCCTTGGGTCTTTTGTCTTTTGTCTTCAGAACCAGTTTTATGAACACTTTGTGTTCTTGGTTCTGATCTGCTTGACTTTAATTCATTGTGTAGAAATGCTGGTGGTATGGTCGCATTGTCGTATTCAGATCAGAGCCCTTTTCATTTAAGATTGTACCTTTTGAAGTTAAAAATGTTTTTTTTTTTCACACCACCCACTGCTCATAATGATGCTCATCCAGGCAATAAAGTTGCTCACTCACTTATTAGAAGCCCTATAATAGATGTGGGACCAAACTGTGAATTTTCCAACCCACGGCGCGAGCATGTCACTTTCACAAGCCGTGCTGAGTCTCGGAGGCACCGCGGCTCCCTCGCGCGCTGACCGGGTTCGGCCGCTTTTCCTGCGCGCGTCAGCCGCACGGACGGAAGTCCAGAGCGGGACGGAGCTGCTGTAGCACGCAACTCCGGCGGTGACGTGGCCCGAGTGGGTTCGGCTCAGGCTCCACCGACCCTCGGACTCTATCGCCGCTGTTGAGCGCCGCTAAAAACAGACCGAGCGTCCAAAGCCGATCACATATCCCGATTTGGCCTGCATGCACTGACGTAGGTAATGCAGGTCCGACAATGCGCTGCAGTCGATATTAATGGCAGTGGTAACCAGGCGGCACCTGTTGCCTGCTTCGTGGCGAGCGCTGTGTTCAAACGAGTGTCGTTTTAAGCGGACGGTGTTGTCGCTGCGGTGTCGTCCTCAGTGGACGTTACGGTGTCGTTACGGTGTCGCTGTAATGGCATCATAGGCCAGACGCTGGGTATGTCGCAGGATCGTGACGAGAGGGATAACTGGGGTTCACGGGTTCGCTAGTTCGCTGGGGTCGCCGGAGGCCCCCGTGCCATGGTGAGAGGCGAGGCCACACAGTGTTGCCGTAATGGGACTGCGGAGCGGCTGGATGCACTATGTGCTCACCCATGCCACAACCGTGACCAGAGCTGAACGTAAAATACCTATTCCAAAGAGTGCATTCCGCAACCTCCAAAAATACCGCTTCGGTTATGAATTTCTTTAAAAGTTTATCGCTGTCAGCGTGCAGGTGTCGGGCACTGCAGCGGAGGGATAGGTACCTACATTCAAACCACAAAAAAGGTTAAAAGTGCTACCGCGACTTATAGATGGGACGCTATGTTAGATTATAGGTACTGCAACGCCGGTCAGCAATGTTTTTTTTTGTTATCAGCTGCGGCATTCGATCCTTCCACCACATGGGAGCGGAATCCTTCCCCGTCCCAGCTCCCTGCGACCACCCTCCGACCGGAAGTGGGCACATCCGACCCGGCTCTGCAGTCCGGAAATAACTGGTTCTCGGCGTGGCAGGGTGTATGGACATCACCTCATTGATATGGCCGCTTCGAACACCATATGTGAAACACGTAGTCATGCTGTTTCGATGGCGGTTTTGTCACCCATTTACTAGGCATTAGGTATAGCATGTTTTGTTTCAGTATTTAACAGCTTTGCAATAGGTAATGAGAAGACGCTCACATTATCCGAGCCATACATATAAGGCCTTGATCCGAACTTTGAAAGGTGAAGCATTTTTTTTTTTCAACAGCAAACTGCTGTTGGTACTCGAAGACTTCCGGCTGTGTTTGATGGGATTATGTTGTAAGACTGAGATTGTGATTCATCTTTAACGGATTTGCTGGTGTGACATTTATAAGACGAACGCATCCCACCGATGCTGGGGCGCTCTGTGATCTCATCTCCTCCGCGTCCGTCCACAGAGCACGAGAACTGGGTGGGCCACTGGGCACGGACGACAGCCTGGGCCCGGTGGCGGTCAGCATTGGGCGCGCTCTGACTGCACCCCTACCTGTCTCCGTCCACAGAGCACGAGAACTGGGTGGGCGCGGACGACAGCCTGGGCCCGGTGGCGGTCAGCATTGGGCGCGCTCTGACTGCACCCCTACCTGTCTCCGTCCACAGAGCACGAGAACTGGGTGGGCACGGACGACAGCCTGGGCCCGGTGGCGGTCAGCATTGGGCGCGCTCTGACTGCACCCCTACCTGTCTCCGTCCACAGAGCACGAGAACTGGGTGGGCACGGACGACAGCCTGGGCCCGGTGGCGGTCAGCATTCGGCGCGCTCTGACTGCACCCCTACCTGTCTCCGTCCACAGAGCACGAGAACTGGGTGGGCCCGGTGGCGGTCAGCATTGGGTGCGCTCTGACTGCACCCCTACCTGTCTCCGTCCACAGAGCACGAGAACTGGGTGGGCACGGACGACAGCCTGGGCCCGGTGGCGGTCAGCATTGGGTGCGCTCTGACTGCACCCCTACCTGTCTCCGTCCACAGAGCACGAGAACTGGGTGGGCACGGACGACAGCCTGGGCCCGGTGGCGGTCAGCATTGGGTGCGCTCTGACTGCACCCCTACCTGTCTCCGTCCACAGAGCACGAGAACTGGGTGGGCACGGACGACAGCCTGGGCCCGGTGGCGGTCAGCATTGGGTGCGCTCTGACTGCACCCCCACCTGTCTCCGTCCACAGAGCACGAGAACTGGGTGGGCACGGACGACAGCCTGGGCCCGGTGGCGGTCAGCATTGGGTGCGCTCTGACTGCACCCCTACCTGTCTCCGTCCACAGAGCACGAGAACTGGGTGGGCACGGACGACAGCCTGGGCCCGGTGGCGGTCAGCATTCGGCGCGACTGGCTGCAGGAGAGCGGGCCGCGCGCCGCCGCCGCCGGAGAGGGCCGCGACCACACCTGCTACCGGGTTATCGTGAGATCCAGCGAGGTGGGTCAGGAGCACGGCCTCTGGCACAGGCGGTTAGGTACTGCACACTGACACGGAGGCCACTGCGCACTGACACAGAGGGGTCGCTGAGGGACTCGAGAATCGCTGTAGGTCACCGGGATCGCTGCAGGTCATGAAAGGTCGCTAGAGGTCACCGAAATTAACAAAAAGGCAACTTAGAAAAACAGGTCACCTTCATGTCACTGACTAGTGACTATGCATGAGGGAATGCAATGCATTCCGCACGCTCGCCGTGTGCAAAGTGTGTCGGCACATATTCGGCTGTCTGTCACAGGGGGTTACTGCGGCACCCATTCGCACCGCTCAGTGTTCTATACGACTGAGACATGAGCCACGAATGAGATCATTTGCCCGTCACCGCGCACCACCGCGGCGAATGACTGCAGTCTGCATATAGAGAGACTCGCCGTGCAGCTACGCCCATGCTATAGGTAGCTCTGTCTGAAAAGCACGGGTTAGAACTTAGAGCCTGCTAAGTATAAGTGCCATATAAGTATTAGATTAGAGCCCGATTCAGCCGTCTGAAAGGAAGTGAACACCTGGGCAGACGCCTGCTTATCGTGGGATATATACCACTACTATAACACCGGTACTATAACAATACCGGTACTATAACAATTACATGACAGGCCTTAGTTTCCCGAATGTCCGGCTATAATACGTAAAAAAGTATTTGTCTCTCTTGGTGCAATATTGGCAATGTAATGCAAACTCCTTACGAGCTCCTACTCATCCTTAGCTTTAATTTATGTCATACGTTTCCGGCATTACAGGATGTTGATGGTTTTCTTTCTCGACACATTGCCGTGTATTGTCACGGTTAGGTGAATGTTGGAATGATATACCGTTCCCAGTGTAGGTACACGGAGCGATATGAGCCGCAGTTATACTGGCTCCGTTCTCATGGATCTGGAGGAGAAACGCTGCCGTCCACCGTCCGCGGTCCCGGAATGTCCAGCGGGCACCCACCTACCGCCGCTGCGTGGACTTCCCACGCCGGCGCCGGGCCGAGAGCGCTCCACATTATACCCTGCAGTGTCGGAGCACCCGGCAAAGCGGCCGAGTGCCAGGCGCCGGGCGCGTCTTCACTTTCCCTCGTTTGTTCGGGAAGGAAAACGCCCGGCAGTGGCGGCCCGGCGGCGGCGCGGTTTCCGCCGTCACCGGCCGGCTCAGCTCGGCGGCGGTACGACGTCATTGAGTGGGGGGGGGGGGGGGGGGGCGGAGGTCTGCTCGGCGGCGGTATACAGGGGCGTCACTGAGTGTGTGTGGGGAGGGGGCGGAGGCCTGCCCGGCGGCAGCGGTACAGGGGCGTCATTGAGTGGGGGGGGGGCCTGCTCAGCTCAGCGGCGGTACAGGGGCTGACTGGGGCAGAGGGCGGGTGGGCGGCCGACTGAACTATCCCGCTGTGCTCTGCTGGTGATGGGATCCAGTGTTCTCCGTGGAGCTGCGTGACTCCACGTAACTCGTCCAGTAGTGATGTCCTGGTGGCTGCCGCAACTGTCTGCACACTTCAGGAGGGACGGATGCAATGATCGTGTAAGATGAACATATTGACACTCAGTAGCGGCGGAACACCTTCAATTAAAGGGGGCACTGCCGACTTTTGGTTCCATTCTTTCCATGCAACGCCCATAGGGCTAATGTTAAAATGCCAAAATCAAAGGGGGGCACGGTGACCTGGTGCCCTCCCCGTTCCGCCGCCTATGTTGACACTGACCTGTGCCTGATCTGACGCCGGCAGTTGCCGACACTGACCTGTGACCCCGCCTGACTCCCAACGCTGACCTGTGACCCCGCCTGACCCCGACACTGACCTGTGACCCCGCCTGACCGGGCAGCTGCCGAAGCTGACCTGTGACCCCGCCTAACGCCGACAGGTGCCGACACTGACCTGACCTCGTCTGAACTGCGAGCCCGCCTGACCGGGCAGCTGCCGACACTGACCTGTGACCCGGCCTGACCCGGCAGCTGCCGACACTGACCCGACAGCTGCCGACACTGACCTGTGCCCCCGCCTGACCCATGACGCTGACCTGTGACCCCGCCTGACCCGGCAGCTGCCGACGCTGCGCGGCCTGATTCTGGAGGAGTCGCTGTTCCCCCTGATCAAGCCCAGCGAGAAGCTGAAGCGACTGCCGGTTCGTGATATCCTCGACCACGTGGCGCCCGAGCTGCAGTACAACTGGTGAGTTCAGAGTGAGAGCTACAGTACAGCTGGTGAGTTCAGCGCTCGGGCTGCAGTACAGCTGGTGAGTTCAGAGTCCGACCTGCAGTACAGCTGGTGAGTTCAGAGTCCGACCTGCAGTACAGCTGGTGAGTTCAGAGTCCGACCTGCAGTACAGCTGGTGAGTTCAGAGTGAGAGCTGCAGTACAACTGGTGAGTTCAGAGTCCGACCTGCAGTACAGCTGGTGAGTTCAGAGTCCGACCTGCAGTACAGCTGGTGAGTTCAGAGTGAGAGCTGCAGTACAGCTGGTGAGTTCAGCGCCCGGGCTGTAATACTCGTACAGCTAGTGAGTTCCGAATGTTAGCGGTCCTGAGCTACAAAACAACTGGTGATTTCCGAGCTGTTAGCAGGAGCTTCTCGTAAAATTGACATTGACAGTGCAATTGCAAATTGACACTGCAAACTGACATCGATGTAAGCTGTGTCACTGGGTGAATGTTTTTATTGCCTCACTGAATGATGCTTTTTATCGCTAGCATTTGATGTGAAGGTGACCTTTTCCATGTTGAAATGCACCCAAACTGTAACGTGGTGGGCGATGTAATTATTCACCGATCCCCGTAAAAATAGGCAACTTCGGTGGGAGGAATGAGTTTAGAGCAAATGCTCAGCATTTGGATCAGGGTCACATGGGGTCCCCCACGTACCCACCGTCTTTCCCGACAGCCTTGCCCCGTGACAGCGCCTTCTGTGCGATGGTTCCGAGGTGGTCGCCCGCCGCCCGCTCCGTATGACAATGCGGCCTGTGTGGGGCTGTGTGGACGGCCGGCGTGCCAAGGTGTTGGGCCGCCCGCCGCCCGGACCGACCGGCCGGTGAGCTAACGGTCCCCGCCGCCGGCCCGTGTTGCACCGGCATCCGGCTGCGGCCCGCCGGCGCCCTGCACTAGTGCACTGTGCACGGCGCGCATGGCTCGCCCCCGGCCGATGCGCCGGGCACGGGGAGGCGCACCAGGCGCGGCGCGGTCCGGGGCCCCCTGACACCGGCAGCGGGCGGTTCTCAGCTCACGACCCTTCTAAACGCAGAAGGTGAAGCGGGCCTGTTTTAACCACCAAGGCTGCGATAATTTTGCATCGAGTGTTGGCTGGTTTTTCCATAGGGCGTCATGCCACCGTCTCAGCGTTATGTATTTGGCCGCGGAGTTGGCCCGTTTTGCCACAGTGCGCCGTGCCGCCCCCGCCGCCGCCGTCATTCACACCGCCGCCGCCGTGTATTGATCGGGTGTTACGAGGCGGCTGTCCCATTGATGCGCGGCTCGGCGCCAGGAGAGGGGAAGGGACAGCGCCTCTCCCGTCCCCAACGGACGCACACGCCCCACCCGGGACGCACAGTGGCCCACCCGCCCGAAAGAGCGACTAAAATACAGTGTCGGGAAGACGATGAAGGTGGGAAGAAAGGAGACGGCCGCACCCATGTTCAGAAAGTGTTGCAATGTGCTGATTAGGTCACTAAAAAGTTCCAACGAGCGCAACGAAAGGAACCTGCTCCGAGTGATTTGTGTCGACTGGGTGGGAGAGTTTGACGGAATGCTCGGGTTTCTGCTATCAGTCGGCTAATGTGTCCCGGATAGATGGGACGGTTTACTGATTTATAATTGGCTTTGAGCCGCCGTACGGACGGGTGGAGTGGGAGGGTAGGGGGAGGTGGCGGGGAGAGGGACCGTCCGTCCTACTCTGGCCCGTACCCACCGACCCGGCCGACCGGAACTGCTCGGCCTCGGTTTGCCGATCTGCACTGAAGACGACGGAGAACGGGGTTTGCTTCAGGAAGACCTGCTGCATCCAGCTGGTTCTTATATTTTATTGATGAAATGCTGCATTTTTATTTGCGAAGAATATTGACCATCCATCGGATTTGCCGTAGAGCCTTTAGACCCCTGCTTATCACATGCTCATACCTAATATATTTCTGCTGTTATTTAATAGACAGTTATATTTCTGCAAGCTGGTGTGCCCAGCGCCGGAAGTGTAGGGTGTCAGAGCCGGCAGCGGCAGAGCCCGCTGGGCGGCAGACGAGTCGGGAGAGCCGGGCGAGTCGGAGAGCCGGGCGGGCCAGTGGGAGGGCCGGGCGCCGTCCGTATCGACCCCCGTCGGCCGGGGTCCTTGGACCACTCCTCCCCTGCTGTTAGACCCCCTCCCCCGCCGGCCGGGGTCCTTGGACCACTCCTCCCCTGCTGTTAGACCCCCTCCCCCGTCGGCCGGGGTCCTTGGACCACTCCTTTCCTGCTGTTAGACCCCCTCCCCTCCCTGCCGGGACCTCGGACCCCTCCCCTCCCCTCCCCGGCTGTGTGACATCATCTGGGACTCTTCGAAACAAATAGCGGTCATTTGAGCAGGAGAAGACTTATCTATGCCTGGTCATAAACGTAGAAACGTCACAAAGCATGATGGGGGTCGGGGAAAATAGCGAAATGCTGCTGATGTAACTATGTATGTAAATACTGCATAGTTTACCTTTGAGTCATTACACTCTCGTGCTCTTCATTTTTACATAGTTGATTTGTGTTGTCAACGTTCAATTATAAACGATGGACAATCTGTGGTGCACTAATAGACATGCAGAGGCTTTGGTTATCTACTGACAAGTGTATCGTTCGTTTCCAGTTTGCGGTTGGCCGTGGCTGAGCCACGCACCGAGGACTACCTGATGAAGCTCGACGAACAGTACATCTTCAACCGGTACAAGGTGAGGCTGATCGCTTGGCTTTACGGAAATTAAATCCGCAGTTATGTTTCAGATAATCGCAATGTTTTTGCCACTTTGCGCCACACACGTTTATTTATGATTTTTTCTTCTCATTTGTCAAATAAGTTAAATAGGTTCCCTAGCACACGTTTACTCAGATTCAAACTCAAACATGCCTCACCCTTCAAGCACCTGCGTAATGAACTGCTCCCTTCCCGGGCTGGTGCTGGCTACCGTGTACTGGTAACAGTGTGTTATGTCATGTGTGCACCTGCCACCATCCTGCTCCCTGTCCCCCAGGTGGGCACCCTGTACTGATATGCCTGCTCCCTGTCCACCAGGTGGGCATCATGTACTGATATGCCTGCTCCCTGTCCCCCAGGTGGGCATCATGTACTGATATGCCTGCTCCCTGTCCACCAGGTGGGCATCATGTACTGATATGCCTGCCCTCCGTCCCCCCAGGTGGGCACCCTGTACTGATATGCCTGCTCCCTCTGCCCCAGGTGGGAGTCATGTACTGATATGCCTGCTCCCTGTCCCCCAGGTGGGAGTCATGTACTGATATGCCTGCTCCCTGTCCCCCAGGTGGGCACCCTGTACTGATATGCCTGCTCCCTGTCCCCCAGGTGGGCACCCTGTACTGATATGCCTGCTCCCTGTCCACCAGGTGGGCACCCTGTACTGATATGCCTGCTCCCTGTCCACCAGGTGGGCATCATGTACTGATATGCCTGCTCTCTGCCCCCCAGGTGGGCATCATGTACTGATATGCCTGCCCTCTGTCCCCCCAGGTGGGCATCATGTACTGCCGGGCCGGCCAGAGCACTGAGGAGGAAATGTACAACAACGAGCAGTCGGGACCGGCGCTCGATGAGTTCCTCGGCATGCTCGGACAGCGCGTCAGACTCAAGGGCTTCGACAAGTACAAAGCGGGACTCGACAATAAAAGTGAGCCCCCAGTGGAATAGGGCTGTGGCGAATCGTTAACGATGTTCGCTGTTTTGATGTTAGAGGTGTAGGAGCTTAGAATTGATGTGTTCCGTATTAACGTCAACAAAATGACGCTCATTATGTAGTATGGGATCAGTAGAATATGGATGTTACTGGTACTTGTGGTGTTATAAGCATCTATCTGACTCGCTGATCTCTAGGAAAGTCGTTAGCTGGCTGTGTACCATACGAGTACATATATACTGTGAGTAACCTCTGTCTCTCCGTGTTCCAGCCGACTCGACCGGGGAGTATTCTGTGTACGTCAAACACCAGGGTAACGAGATCATGTTCCACGTCTCCACTCTGCTCCAGTACTCGCCCAACAACAGACAACAGGTAAGACGACGGGCAGGTAGTCTCCGCTCTGCTCCAGTACTCGGCCAGACAACAGGTGAGACAACGGGCAGGTAGTCACCGCTCTGCTCCAGTACTCGCCCAACAACAGACAACAGGTGAGACAACGGACAGGTATGTATGGTGATATACCAGCGCATTGATCACACCGGGCTGGGCGCGGGGCGAGGCTGCAATGACTGCGCAGCGACAACCCAATGCTGGAGCAGGACGGTAACGGTAAAACCTATAACTACTGATCGTAGAGAAGGACTTAGTACCTTCGGGCGCATATTGTCAGACCCATAGCACAACATCTGCACAGCTGCGAGCGAAGGCATATGGAATGGTTACATATCTGCTTCTCGTCTCACCAGAGCTGTTTAACGCCCTCAGTAAGTGGTGTAAATAGAAACCAACTCCTGCTCGACTAGCTCACCGATAACCCGGTGGGGGTGACCCTGTAGTGGTGGTCTGTGGTTTCCCCGTCACTAGGTCACCGACAGTCTGGCTGGGGTACCGCTACCACTGCGGTAGGTCACCTGCGGTAGTCCGGCTGGGATGTCTCTGTGGGCTGTGACTAGGTATTTGCCGGGTCAGCTGGGGTGCCTTCAGCGCGGTGCGGTCGATTGGGGGCCGGCCGCTGTTGTGTCTACAGTTCAACTTTCCCGGAACCTCCGCCATGATTACTGATCGAGCGCTCCCTCCGGGAAGCGGTCCCCCTGCCACCGGCCGCAGGTGCCGCTCGCTGGGCCCGTCAGCACAGCCGCACCCGACCGGGCGGCGCTGCCTCCGCGAAACAACTATTTATAGACGTATGATGATGCGCCTCTCTTTGATGTAACCCTGCGCACTCTACAGCCACGGACGGTTACTTCGTGTCTGTCGTGACTTCCCATTGCCTCTGCGGTACCAACGTGTCCGATGTGACCCATGATTGGCACTGCACCTTTGGCGGCGTATGGTGTCACCTCGGAGTGATCCGGTACCACTACTGTGTCCGGTCCTGTGACCTCTGGGTGACCCTGTGCCACTACTGTGTCCGGTGTGACCTCTGGGTGACCCTGTACCACTACTGTGTCCAGTGTGACCTCTGGGTGACCCTGTACCACTACTGTGTCCAGTGTGACCTCTGGGTGACCCTGTACCACTACTGTGTCCAGTGTGACCTCTGGGTGACCCTGTGTCCGGTACTGTGACCTCTGGGTGACCCTGTGTCCGGTGTGACCTCTGGGTGACCCTGTGTCCGGTACTGTGACCTCTGGGTGACCCTGTGTCCGGTACTGTGACCTCTGGGTGACCCTGTGTCCGGTGTGACCTCTGGGTGACCCTGTGTCCGGTACTGTGACCTCTGGGTGACCCTGTGTCCGGTACTGTGACCTCTGGGTGACCCTGTGTCCACCTCTGGGTGACCCTGTGTCCGGTGTGACCTCTGGGTGACCCTGTGCCCGGTGTGACCTCTGGGTGACCCTGTGTCCGGTGTGACCTCTGGGTGACCCTGTGTCCGGTGTGACCTCTGGGTGACCCTGTGTCCGGTGTGACCTCTGGGTGACCCTGTGTCCGGTGTGACCTCTGGGTGACCCTGTGCCACTACTGTGTCCGGTGTGACCTCTGGGTGACCCTGTGCCGCTGCTGTGTCCGGAGTGACCTCTGGGTGACCCTGTGTCCAGTGTGACCTCTGGGTGACCCTGTGTCCGGTGTGACCTCTGGGTGACCCTGTGTCCGGTGTGACCTCTGGGTGACCCTGTGCCACTACTGTGTCCGGTGTGACCTCTGGGTGACCCTGTGCCGCTGCTGTGTCCGGAGTGACCTCTGGGTGACCCTGTGTCCAGTGTGACCTCTGGGTGACCCTGTGTCCGGTGTGACCTCTGGGTGACCCTGTGCCGCTGCTGTGTCTGTTGTGATCTCTGACTGTCCCGTCACCTGTGTAGCCGCCGGGCCTGCCGAGTTGACCTGTCACTGACCGCTCTCTGCCTGTTCCACAGCTACTGAGGAAGCGCTACATCGGCAACGACATCGTCACCATCGTGTTCCAGGAGCCGGGCGCGCTGCCGTTTACGCCCAAACACATCCGCTCACAGTTCCAGCACGTGTTCATCGTGGTGCGAGCACTGAACCCGTGCTCCGAGAACACCCAGTACAGGTACACACTGGGCTCTGAGACCGCTCGACGAGTGGAGCACTGCGCACAACGCTGTGCACGGGTCGATCCGTATTCTGTCGACTGAATACTCCGCGCGGGTCGCTACCTACGCATTACGAATACGCATATCTGTTATAGCGGGATGGGCCGTCTGACCTCTGTCTGACCCCTTCTGACTGCCGTCTGACCTCTATCTGTCCCTTTCTGACCTGCAGTGTGGCTGTGAACCGATTTCGGGACGTGCCCGCGTTCGGACCGCCCATCCCCGAATCGGCCACCTTCTCAAAGTCGCAGGCCTTTGCCGAGTTCCTGTACGCCAAAGGTGAGCTCATCACGGCGATATTATCACTGGCTCTCTATGTAGTTCTGTCCTGAAAACTTGTACGGAATTGTGGTGTTGAAATAAGTTCATTAATACTTCAATTACACATTCTAAACTAATGAAGCACCGTGTCGCTTCCTCGCCTCTTGTTCTAAATTCATGTGAGAAATGAATGATTAGACGCTCGTTCACTACCCCCCCCCCCAAAAAAATCAACACAGTGCGTGATTACCTAACTCCATACATATTGAACGTGTAAGTACCTACTATACGATTTTGACACGAATACGGTGATAACGATAACCATCACGGAAGTTGTGGAAATGTTTAGCAAAGCTCAAATGATGCATGCATGATAACCATATTATGTCGTGTTTGAATGTATCGCTAAAGCTAGGCTGATTTATTTTGCAAGCACGGGCCGGTCGATTGCCCCAGTCAGTACGATATACCTATCGGATAGACGACCAGTGGACCGCTCTGTCCGCCCCGGCCGCGGAGGCGGGCGTCGTTTATACAGTGTGGTACGGTGTCCGCTGCCGTCTGGGGCGCCGGTATAAGACCAGTGAGTGGTGCACGCTGTCGGGGGGCGCCGGGCGGCGGACGCGACTGCCGGGCCCGCGCCGGGCGGCGGAAACCTCTGATGTGGCCGCCACGCTCCGCCCGCACCGGCCGGGCGCCGCCGATATTTGAACGTGCAAGCTTCAGTGTTGAGCATATTTGTAGTTCTGACATATTTTGGCAGTGCGATTTGTTACGTGAACTGCGCTGTACTCCCCAGTACCAACTTTTTAATTGTAATGCTGCTGTGCTAGAAATGTAGATACTTGACTAATTTATGGTAAATTCGTCTCTATTGAATATTTTTATCCAGAATATTTTTATTCTTTTTTATAAAGAGGCTGTCTTTTTCCTTGCCTCTCCTTCTATCCATGCATTCTGTCCTGCGGCACTCGTCTATTCGCCCGCAGTGTCGCTCACCTCCGTCCGATGTTGCAGTGATCAACGCCGAGAACGCCGCCTACCACTCGGAGAAGTTTATGACAATGGCCAAGCGGACCCGAAACGAGTACCTGAAGGACCTGGCCACCAACTACCTGACCGAGCAGACGCTCGACCCGCCGCAGAAGTTCTGTGAGTGACTTTCAAGACTCTCACGACTCTCTAAGAGCTTGGAAGTGTTGTACAGTAAGGTCTATTTTACGTCGTAGGAAACTCCACCCTCTAGAAATGGGTAGTTTTGTTGTGACCAAAGAGCGCAACATGCGCCACCAGTACATGTCCGTTTGTTTAGGACTATTTTAATGCATTGTTACTTAAATCATAGTATATAGTTAGCATCATATGGTTGCATCCACAATTTTTTTATGAAACTGTTTGGGAGTAAAATGCTACCAAATGGCTGGAAAATTGTCGTATTTTACGCCCTTGCAAGTGTCTGCGTTCCTTAGCAGTCAAACCCTATGTAATTGTGTGCGGCGACGACCCCACCCTGACCTCAGTGTTCCGTGTGTTCCCCACCCACCCACCCTGACCTCAGTGTGTTCCCCCCCACCCCCCACCCTGACCTCAGTGTGTTCCCCACGCACCCACCCCACCCTGACCTCAGTGTGTTCCCCACCCACCCCACCCTGACCTCAGTGTGTTCCCTATCTACACCACCCTGACCTCAGTGTGTTCCCCACCCACCCCACCCTGACCTCAGTGTGTTCCCTATCTACACCACCCTGACCTCAGTGTGCCCCCCCCCCCTCCACCCTGACCTCAGTGTGTTCCCCATCTACACCACCCTGACCTCAGTGTGTTCCCCACCCACCCCACCCTGACCTCAGTGTGTTCCCTATCTACACCACCCTGACCTCAGTGTGTCCTCCCTCCACCCTGACCTCAGTGTGTTCCCCACCCCCCTCCACCCTGACCTCAGTGTGTTCCCCACCCACCCCACCCTGACCTCAGTGTGTTCCCCCCACCCCACCCTGACCTCAGTGTGCCCCCCCCTCCACCCTGACCTCAGTGTGTTCCCCATCTACACCACCCTGACCTCAGTGTGCCCCCCCCCCTCCACCCTGACCTCAGTGTGTTCCCCATCTACCCCACCCTGACCTCAGTGTGTTCCCCACCCACCCCACCCTGACCTCAGAGTGTTCCCCACCCCCCACCCGGGCCTCAGTGTGTTCCCCATCCACCCCACCCTGACCTCAGTGTGTTCCCCACCCCCACCCCCCCCCCCCTGACTCGGCGGCGCGTCCCGTTTGTGTCCGGCAGCGATCATGTCGTTCGGCAGTCGGAAGAAGGACCGTCCGCGGCCGCGGTTCCGGCCGGACGCCGTGCAGCGTGGCGCCATCTGTTGGCAGGTGGTGGCTGACGAGCAGAGCTCCGTCAGACAGGTACGGCCGGACCTCCTCAGTACAGACATCATCCCTTACAGGACGGACCGCCCCCAGCACAGAGCTCCGTCAGACAGGTACGGCCGGACCTCCTCAGTACAGACATCATCCCTACAGGACGGACCGCCCCCAGCACAGAGCTCCGTCAGACAGGTATGGCCGGACCTCCTCAGTACAGACATCATCCCTTACAGGACGGACCGCCCCCAGCACAGAGCTCCGTCAGACAGGTACGGCCGGACCTCCTCAGTACAGACATCATCCCTTACAGGACGGACCGCCCCCAGCACAGAGCTCCGTCAGACAGGTACGGCCGGACCTCCTCAGTACAGACATCATCCCTTACAGGACGGACCGCCCCCAGCACAGAGCTCCGTCAGACAGGTACGGCCGGACCTCCTCAGTACAGACATCATCCCTTACAGGACGGACCTCCCCCACACAGACATCATCTTTACAGGACGGACCGCCCCCACACAGACATCATCCCTACAGGACGGACCGCCCCCACACAGACATCATCCCTACAGGACGGACCGCCCCCACACAGACATCATCCCTACAGGACGGACCTCCCCCACACAGACATCATCCCTACAGGACGGACCGCCCCACACAGACCCCGGCACGACAGGTACGGACGGACCGCCCCAGTGCAGACATCATCCCTGCAGGTATACGGACGGACCGCCCCAGCACAGACCCTGGCCCGACAGGTACGGAGCACGGACCCCTCCCCCTCCTCGACACCAGCTCTGCCAGACAGGTACAGACCTCCCAACACCCGCCGACGAGCAGAGCTCGGCCCGACAGCTGCGTACCAACAGACCCCCCCCCCCCCCAAACACAGACCTCGGCCCAACAAGTACGGACGAGCAGAGCTCTCGACAGATACGTACCGTAAAACGGGGTGTTAAGGGACAGTTTTGAGGTGTTTTGTTATATAACTCAAGAAGGGTTGGGGATAGAAGCATCAACTTGTCAGCATTTTATGTGGAATTTGGTGCTTTACATGCCTGCTACATTAACAGTTTTAAAAATATATACATGCATATTATTTTTTATGATTTTTCATCGCTGTCCCTTAGCACCCCAATGTGGGGTGTTAAGGGACACCTATATTATTTCAAGAAATGGTCATCAAATGCCCACAATTGGGGTGTGAAAGGGCACACAATTTATTTATTAAAATGTTTTGCATATTCTGTCACAAAACAAGTCAGGTTCATTCACCACTAATGGCCTTTTTAGCCAATTACATGTAATGCAGTTTACGCTTCTGGAAAATGTGCTAACTATGAGGTAAATAGAACCAAAAAGTACCATTCTGTCACCAACAGAAACCCATTTTGAAGCTAGTCACTTGTCATTATGTTGCCCTCTTTGTTTTGGCCTTTTTATGATGACATCACATTTACCTACATCAGTCTTCATTGACCCATCATTGTTAAAGATAGTGTTAAGGGAGTTTTGAGGTGTTTTGTTATATAACTTAAGATGTGTTAGAGATGAAAGCATGAACTAGCCAGCATTTTATGTGGAATTTGGTGTTTTCCATGCCTACTGAAAGAAAACTTTATGAAATTATATTTATATATTATTTTTTATTTTTTTCTTCCCTGTCCCTTAGCACCCCACATCCACCGCAAAATACGCATGTGTCCACAAAAGAGGAAGAGGATGATGAATGAATGGGTGAATTGTATAAGTTTTTTTCAGGAAACATGTGCAATACATGTGACAATTCACCTATGCATTCATTTTACCTGTACACCTTCTAGTTTATGTGGTACACACAGAGTTTTGGAGATGTCTCAATTTTGTGAAAATGTAGCATGATTTTCAAAACCATTTTTGAACCAAATCACTTGCATGAAAAACCATGCCATTTTGTCTTTTAGTCAAGAACAAAACAGTGTCAACTACCACACTCAAGTTTTTATTTAACCTTCTCAAATTAGGAACTTAACATGACTCAAAGTTTTTCCCACGCAACTGTCCCTTATCACCCCACTGTCCCTTAACACCCCATTTTACGGTACAGAGTAAGGACCCTTCCAAACATACACCTTCCGACGGGGGCGTATGCATGGACCCCTAAAAGTGTGGAATACGAAACACGACAACTCTTCATGTTTCTATATACTCTGCCTCCTCCAGTCCTCTCGGACATGTCTCCCCGACAGGTGCGGACTCCCTCCTGAGTCCTGACAGGTGCGGATTCCCTCCCGACAGGTGCGGACCGCCGACACCCCCGCTGACAGGCGCGACACCTCATTGGCACATCCTCCCGACAGTTACGGACACTGCTGGCACCCTCCTCCCCCCCCCCCCCGATGGGTAGGGATAAGCATTAGATTAATTGTGTATTGCACAGTATAACTGTATAGTTTGTATAGTGGACGATTGTGAATTGGGCGTTATCATGCCCTGACTCCATCCCTTACCCTCAAGTGGACTGTGTTCTGAATGACCGTGTGTTGGGGTTTTACCGTGCTCTGACTTCTTTTCTCTGCGCCCTCGCAGGTGGACTGCGTGCTGGGTATCTCTGCTGACTCTGTGGTTCTAATTGAGGAGAGGACCGACCGGCTGCTGTTCGCTGCTCCGGCCGCCAGCGTCCTGGGCTGGACCCTGCAGGGCACCAGGTGAGGGGTACTGGGGGCACCAGGTGAGGTGGTCACCAGGGGGCACCAGTTCAGGCCGCCAGCGTCCTGGGCTGGACTCTGCAGGGCGCCAGGTGAGGGGCCACTAGGGGCACCAGGTGAGGGGGCACTGGGGGGGGGGGGGTACCAGGTGAGGGATGTACGGGGGGGGGTAACAGGTGAGGGGTACTGGGCTGGACCCTGCAGGGCACCAGGTGAGGCGGGCACTGGGGGGCACTAGGTGATGCGGACGCCCCAGCGGACAGACGGGCAGACGGACTCGCACGCCTAAGGCAGACAGCATGACGTGCATTGAGAATGGCAAAGAAATTCGCAGTGAGACATTCCAGTTGGTCACAAACACCGGAAAAGATAGCATCTATTGCTGACATACATCGGCAGCAATGGATACTGCCAGGCGCCCCAGTGTCCCCTGACCTTTCTGCGGCGTCTGTAGGATTGGTCCAGCGGCGCTATCGTGCTGCTCCAGCGGTGTATCCACCTATCGGGCACCCGCTGAACACACCGGCAGCCCACCTTCCCCTGCCGTGTGACGGCGGACCGCACCCAGTCTGCCCAGCTCGGTCCGTACCCCTCGACTCCCGGGACACTAAACCATTACCGGGCCAACAATGGGTGAGTCAGCGCCCCGTGTGCGCTGGGCTGTGTGGGGCCGAGCGACCCCCTCCGTGTGCACTGGGCGGTGTGGGGCCGACCGACCCCCTCCGTGTGCACTGGACGGCAGCGCTGGGCTGTGGGGGGGGGGGGGGCGACCGACCCCCTCTGTATGGACGGCAGCGCTGGGCTGTGTGGAACTGGGACCGACCCCCTCCGTGCACGGACCGGTGGAGCGGCCGCCGCGCCGGCCGGCCCGATACCATCGGCTCGGCTGTCCGAGATGGACCGATACCGGCCGGACCCGACAGCCCGCGCCGTGTTGGTCCGCACCATGTCCTTTTACATGGAGCTGAGCGGTTACACAATGCCGCTGACAGGCGCCCCCTTCTAACGAGTGGCAGTCCTCGGCGACAATATCGCGCCAAGCTAGTGGTGGTCCGGTGCCGGCGGCTTGGCACCCTTCAGGGCTGGGAGACGGTGTGACTCCTTAACCGTTACTGGCTCGAGTGCCTCGAGTCTCATCAGTCGACTCCTGGGGTGCATGGTCTGCTCAGATGTACGCTGTGGGATTTGTCGATGTCATTTCCCCGGTCTAGCTGAGGGGTGCTACCGGCTGCGACTCACAGCCGGGCTGCCCTGCACGCAGGCTGCAGGTCTGTGTTGTACTCTCTAGATGTCCCGTATTTGTTACCCGCGGTCATGTTTGACGGCTGACCTGTCAGCGGCATGCGGGTGTACTACCACTAGGGCGAGTGCGTGGTGCTGTGACCTGACCTGACCTGACCTGGCCTGACCTGACCTCTGTCCTCAGCCTGCGGGTGTACTTCCACCAGGGCGAGTGTGAGGTGCTGTGACCTGACCTGACCTGACCTCTGTCCTCAGCCTGCGGGTGTACTACCACCAGGGAGTCGTGAGCTGTGACCTGACCTAACCTGACCTGACCTCTGTCCTCAGCCTGCGGGTGTACTACCACCAGGGCGAATGTGTGGTGACCTGACCTGACCTGACCTGACCTGACCTCTGTCCTCAGCCTGCGGGTGTACTACCACCAGGGCGAGTGTGTGGTGACCTGACCTGACCTGACCTGACCTCTGTCCTCAGCCTGCGGGTGTACTACCACCAGGGCGAATGTGTGGTGACCTGACCTGACCTGACCTGACCTGACCTCTGTCCTCAGCCTGCGGGTGTACTACCACCAGGGCGAGTGTGTGGTGCTGTGACCTGACCTGACCTGACCTCTGTCCTCAGCCTGCGGGTGTACTACCACCAGGGCGAGTGTGTGGTGCTGCGGCCACAGACGCCCCAGGACACGGAGGAGCTGGCGGAGATGGCCGCGCGACTGGCCGCCGTCACCGCCGGCTGCGACTCGCAGGTACGGGAGCCCCACCCCACCGCCGACTTGACTTAGGTACAGGAGCCCCCCCCCCCCCCACTGCCGGCTGCGACTCGCAGGTACGGGAGCCCCCCCCCCCCCTCCGGCTGCGACTCTCAAGTACGGGATCCCTCGCTTAGAGCAATGAAACAGTGTGACGTCATGTTGACATGGCATCGGTCATAGACCTCTGTATACCGGTATACAGAGGTCTATGCATCGGTCTGATCACCACTCGGTGCTGTCGTGGTGACATTGGTCTGGTGATGTACCGGTCTGGTGACGCCGGCTCTGGTGCTGTCCTCTCCAGGAGCTGGTGCTGCGCCGGAACCAGCTGGGCCAGCTGGGCTTCCACGTGCAGAGCGACGGCCTGGTGACGGAGGTGGAGGGCGGCGGGCCCGCCTGGCAGGCCGGACTCCGACAGGGCGCCCGAATCGTGGAGGTGAGGGCCGCTCCCTTCACACGGACCAGAAGAGGGGGAGGGGATGGGGGTATGGTGACGTGGTGACGGAACGGTGCTGGCTGGTGTGCTGTGTGGTGCTGGTCTTTACAGAGTGCTCCACGTGTAGTTTGTCGAGTGTCTGCTAGCCTCGCTCCGAGGTATGTGCGCCGTGTGGAGCTGCGGACCGCTGACGCCCGCCGTCGTCCGCAGATCTGCCGGGTGCCCGTGTGCTCGGCCAGCTACGACCAGATGGTGGACCTGCTAAAGACCTCGGTGCCCGTGTCGCTGGTGGTGCTGCCGCCGGGCGCGGACGGTGCGCCGCGCCGCGGCTGCCTGCTGCCCTCCTGCGGCGCGCCGGCCCCGGAGCCGGAGCCGGGCCGACGCGCCGGCTCACCGCCGCCGTCCGTCGTCAGCTCTGGGTACGGCACGGGCGGCAGCGGCCGCTCAGCGCTGGCCGCCGGCTCTCTGGAGGCCGGCGGCACGCTCAGCAGCTCGTCCAGCGGCTCCACAGAGCGGTGGGCCGACGAGGCCGAGCCGCCGCCGCCGCCGCTGCCGGCGCGCCACCGACAACGGCTCCCGGCCGCGCGCAGCCTGGACGGACAGACGAGCAACTACGCGGCGCCGGCCGGACTGCAGCCGCGGGCTCTGGAGACGCTGCAGGTGCGCCGCGGGACGGGTGGGGTGGGACCGGGGATTCGGGTGGGATGGGACGGTGGGACGGGGCGTGCTGGGGCGTCGGGACGGGTTGGATGGGGCGGTGGGATCAGGATCCATCGGACAATGGGGCGAGACAAGCCGGAAAGCATTCGTATTTGCGGACTGGAAATGTTATTACACGGTGAAATGGCATACGCTGCAGGTTTTGAAGCAAGGCAGATCATGTGGTTTGGCATTGAGCATGTAGCTCAGGATCCTCATTTCTTACATCCTTGCTGTTCACGGTTGTCATACAAAATCATTGGTGTCTAGTTAATTGAAGTAACACGCACGACCTGCTACTACCAACAGTATCAACTGTAACGCGCGACCCCCCCCCCCCCCCCGTTCGACAGGAGCGGAGAGGGCGCCAGGAGACATTCGCCTATATCGAACTGGCTTCGATGAACTGCGGTATTCTGATGGAAGCCAAGAACGACAACTCAAAGTCCACCTACCTCACCGACTCAGACGTGGAGATCTACATTCCGGTGAGGCAGTACGGCTGCGCGACACGTTCGGCGCTCATGTGTGAACTGATGTCTGGACCGAACAGTATGGATAATGACGGCGAACGTCCATCTCCTCGAATGAATTCGCTCATACTGTGTTGTAAAATTATCGCAATGCTCAGGCCGGACAGTGATAAAACTTAATATCTACGAGAGTGTGTCGTGTGTTCGACAGTCCCTCCTTTATCCGGTGCACCCTGGTTGATGGGTAGGAGTTGGCCAGGAGCGTGGCCTGCGAGCTATCCGCAGCTCTCCCCGGGCTCGGTGTCCCAGCAGCCCTGACAGTGGCGCTCTGACCCGCAGGGCCAGCGGACGTCCACGGCCACCCAGGACGGCCGGGCGGGCCACCGAGGCTCGCCGGCCGCCCCCGCTCCCGCCCAGGCCGCCGCCGGCGCGTCTGCGGCGCCCGGGCGGTCCTCGGGCGGCGGTCCGTCCGACCCCACGGCGGCCGGGGGACGGAGGACCAGCGGCGCCGGCTACAGCACGCTGGAACAGAGGCACCGCGGAGCGCCGAGGGAGGAGGGCGACCAGAGACACCGCGGAGCGCCCAGAGAGGAAGGAGAGCAGAGACTGCGGGGACCGTCCAGGGAGGAGGCCGACCAGAGACTCCGCGGGACGCCCAGGGATCAGGGAGAGCAGAGGCTCCGGGGAGCGCCGAGGGACCCGGCGCCCGGCCAGCCTGCCCGCCAGCAGGCGGCGTCCCGGCAGGCGGCCGGCCGCAGCCAGCCCTCGGGTCACAGCGGTGGCAGTGTGCGCACGAAGCGGCCGGGCGGCCCGGGTCCCCGGCGAATCGCCAACAGCCGGAGCAGCACAGACCTGAGCGCCGGGCGGCTCAGCTCGGCGCACCTCAGCCACGCCGAGAGCGACCAGTGTCTGAGCGGCCGCTCGGCGCCGCGCCTGCTGCCCGCGCGGCTGGGCCACTCGCGCAGCAGCAGCCAGCTGGGTGGGAGGCCGCCCAGCGCCGCGCCGCTGGCCGAGCTGGGCCGGCCGCGGCTGCGCGCCGGCAGCCACCAGAGCCTGGAGAGCGCCGAGCCGGCCGGCCGCCGCTGCGCGCCCGCCTCCCGCAGCGAGGACGAGCTGAGCGCGCACAGCCTGTCGCCGGCGGCGCGGCGCCGGCTGCGCGCCGACACCTCGACGCCGTCCTCCGGCAGCGGGCGCAGCCAGGCAGGCAGCCCGCGCGGCGCGGCGCCGGCCGGCCGGCGCGCCTCCAGCGGGCCGTACCTGGCGGCCGGCCCGGCGCAGCCGGCCGAGACGGACGTACTGCTCACCACGGCGCGGCCGGCGCACGTGCTGGACGCCAGCCCGGAGTCGGACGGCCCCCAGATGGACTGGCAGACTCTGGTGGATACGGCCACACGGGCCGTGCTCACCCAGCGGCCGGCCGCCGGCAGGTGAGGCCGCTCACCTCCGCTCACCGCACCCCTCCGGGCGCTCCCCTCTGCTCACATGTCCCCTGCTGCCGTCCGCTCACCTCCGTCCTCACGGCGGTCACTAACCGCCCGGTCCCAGCTAACGCCAGTCCCTGAAAATGGGGCAGTTCATCTGTAACATTTTAGTCGGGAGCGTGCGTCGACGGTCGATTATCGAAATGTTGTAGTCCGATGATTATTATTCAAGCAAGCGAACGATGCTGAACTTGTCCGCTATTCTGACTTTCAATTCTCATGTGACTGGATGAAATGTTCAATGCATAAAATGGGTAAATTGTTCCCAATGCGAAGGTGAGATTTTGTCGCACAAGGTTAGCATTGGTTGTGACGCAGGTGGTGTTCTGTTTGTCAGCAGGACGCCGCCCGGGGACACGGCGTCACCTGTAGCCCCCGCCGCTGCCGCCGCCCCCGCCCCCGCCGCCGGCTCGGCCGCCTCAGCCGCTCCACCGTCGCCCTCTGACGAGCTCCGCTCGCGTCTCACCACTCTGGAGAACGAGCTGGTGAACGAGCAGACCCGCCGCGAGCTGCTGCAGTCGCAGGTGAGACACCAGTCACAGCGAGGAATCAGTCACACGATCAGTCCCAGTGGAAGGGTCAGTCACAGCCTCAGTCACAGGGGAGAATCAGTCCCGAGGCTTGCTGTATTTTCCTCTATCTGGATGCCAGCTCTTCGACGTGGCTAAAGACTCAATATATCCTTGTCAGCTCATATCCGTATTCATCCCTAATTGTGTTCATCGTATGGGTAACGGCTGCCCCCTCCTCTGGACGGCGGCAGTCTGACATGTCGCCCCCGGCGTGCTCCAGGTGCAGAAGCTGAGCTCGGACAACCAGCGGCTACAGGAGGAGAGTCGGCAGGCGGCGCGTCAGCTGAGAAAATTCACCCAGTGGTTCCTCGACAACGTTGAGAAGCCGTGACCGGACGGCAGCCGCCGGCCTCCGCCGTCACCGGCCGGGCCCGGGGTGGGCCTCCTCCCGCCGGTACCGGGTGGGTGGTCCTCAGCGAACGGGCCGGCCTGTCGCTGATCGCGTCGGGTTGGACGTGACTCTTGTGAGGATGTGGTTTTTATACATGCGTGCGGGTGAGTGTGAGATTTTCAAGGCAACTCGCCTTCTTATAAGCCGTCCATTTCGTCACGTGGCCAAAGATTGTGCGAGAAAATGACGATTTTACGCGGAAGCAACTATATATACCTACTTATAGTTTTGTACAATATTTGTGTACAATGTGCAAAATGCAGCATTGTGCTGCAGGCTATCGTTGTGATGATAATGCAAACTATGATGCTCGCGTGTGAGCTGTAGGTTTTTTTATAATTTAATGAAATGACCGCTGCCCTTTGGAATAGGCATGCTTACGTCCTGTAGCCTTGTTTACGATGTCTTTGTCTAGGAAATTTAGAAGGCGTTTGATTTCGGTGAATACCGAATGTAAACTTACAAACGTGCGACATGCACAGTCTAGTCCGTGCCTGCTTTGTACGAAGTCAGCTCATCGAATGATCTGCAATGCCATGCATGATAATATAGTAAAATGCAATCAATGCCTTCGTATATCTACTACTATGGTTCAAGGCTTCCGGTTAAGCATTCGACTAGCCGAATCACTTTTTGTAATAATCGGTGGATCTTTGTTGGTGGCTTTTGAACTTTTTTTCGGGTGTTTCTGAAAAGTCGCGTCGTTGTCATAAACCTGCGCCATGTTTGGTCCGATCCGCGGAGGGCTGGGAACGGCGCCACTTCTTAGTTACCAGGTTCTGTATACAGCCGGGAGCCCATGGGCTTAGGGTAATTGTGGGGAAAACGCACCCCTGGGTTAAACGCCTCCCCTAAAAATCGTATTTCTTATCGACGGATAGGTGTTTTATCCTGTCTTTCAGAACAGTCAGCTGCTTATTTACGTAGGTCTCTATTTCCGGTTCTGCGTCTTGAGGAGCAGCGTGGGTAGGTGCTGATGTTGGTTTTGGGTGTTGTTTTTGTTGTTTTTACAGAAGATTCCTAAGATTTTGATGCCCTCTTTATATCACAAAACTTGCTATTGTGCACATCACTCAAAACTGCGTTTTATTGTCATTCTGGTGAATGTATTATGCTGCGGCGTTAGTGGCGCGTTTTTTGTCAATATTTTGTTGACCGGAAATGGAGTGGATGGGGCAAGACGCCTACTCGATGCATGGGGCAAGACGCCCCCAGTTTTCTGAAAGGGGGGCGTTTTGCACGGTGGTGAGAGTGCAGGGTAGCGCCCTGTAGGTCGGGGCTGAAAAGGCCTGTCCCTGTCCTTTTTTGCTGATATATCCTAAACGACTGCAGATATCGTCACCAAACTTTCAGGACTCCTCCGGGCATCCATTTTACACATTGCAACAAAATTTTATTCCAAAGGCTATGATAGGTTGACCACAAATGACGTCAGAATGACGTCAAGTTCTGCCATGTTCATCATTTTCTGTTGATGGATGGGGTGGGGGCGCTTTGCACATGGGTGTGGGCGTATTACCCAGGGTATGGGGCAAAACGCCCTTTTGTAAGGGTATGCAAAAACCTTTTTGGGGGGTTAAATACCACACGCAGGTGTCTTTTCTTGGTCTAAAAGCGTAGTAAAAAGAATGAGCTACATGATGGTGCCCAAAGGTTTAAGTAATCTGTGTTGGGTTGAGTGTCAGAAGGTTTCGCGCTTAAGGGGGGCGTTTTTGACCTATTCACCCTACATAACAGCCGTTTCCCGGGAGTGGTCGGATGATGTGAGGCGTGGTGACGACTGCCGGGTGCAGCGAGCGCCGGGAAACCGCATACGCGTGGGAGGGGTGCCAACTGACGGTGGCGTGATAGGCGCGCCGAGAAGCGGCCACCTGGCTGACGCAGGGGTCCTCAGCCCCCCTCAGGACAGGAGCACAACAGTCAAGACTAAGCGCCACCGACCCGTTCTCATCAGCAACGACCTGCCGATAGACATTGCAGTGAGTGGAGATGGGTGGTTATATTCACCTTTCCTAGCCCGTGTGGATTCCTAGGCCCAGCCAGCAATGCCCACTCGGGCCCCAATCAGTCTTTGCTTGGGCAGGCCCAACTTGGACTTCTTGGGCACTGCTCAGTTTTTTCTTGGGCTTTGGTCGGTGTATGACACAGACCGCCGAGCAACGCCCAACAAAAAACCGGCCGGGCCCCGAGCGGGCAAGCCCGACCACTGCTGGGCATGAATGGTGGGGCCCACGCAGGGCCCGAGCGGGGCCCACTCAGTTTTGTCTGCTTGGGCCCTGCATGGGCCCCAATCGGGCCCCGCTCAACGGCCAGCATGGGCTTGCCCAACCTCTGCTGGGCATGAATAGTGTGGGCCCGCGCAGGGCCCGAGCGGGTCCCACCCAGTTTTGACTGCTTGGGCCCTGCGTGGGCCCCGATTGGGCCAGGTCTAACGGGCAGTGCGGGCTTGCCCAACCACAGCCCGATCTGCCACAGACTCCAAAGCATGTTGTCATTTAATGACAACATGCTTGTCATTTAATGACAACATTTGTTTTCAACATGCCGATGGTACGTATGTTCTTTCGATGATCATATAAAATGAAAATGTCATCATCCTCCATTTATTAACATAACATTTGATACGGGGCGATGACAAACATCGGACGAACAAAGAACGCATCTCATAATTGAAAAGTGCTGATCATTTCAACACATCTGAAAGTCATCGATCTGTTGAACATGGAACGTCGAATACCAGAAATAAGGTCAGATCTCTTACTACATGTTTGATAAAGGCCTGTGGCCGAAAGCTCGCAACTAAATATATACATTTCAACTTTCATTTATTCATATGTCGATGAAACGGTCATACCAAATACGATTTCTATTGCTACAACATCATCAACTCCCAAAATTAATCTGCAAAGATTCAATCATTCATCAATTCATTCATAAAAAAACATGTAACTTATCAACATTCGGTATAAACAGAATGCACGGGTACACTCCCTTCTTGAGCTCCACTTCCTTCTGCGTTTCACAACTCTTCGAAGCGGAGCTCTCGTTCCTCGGAATGCTCCTCAGCGTCGGGCACCGCCTCGGCGGCGGCTGTCGGTGCGTCGCCTGCGGCCATTACCGCGTCGCCATCGACCATACGACCATGATCGCGACGGCTGTTCGCCAGTCGAGCCAGCCGCTTCCCGTCACGGTCGCGGCTCCCCGACAGCCATTTACCGGCGCTCCGGCCGACTTCCGCCCTCTTCACAGTCCCGTGGGAGCGCCGAACTGCTTCTAAAAGGAACAGAAAATAAATTATTATTATCTTATGGCGAAAGTTTGTGTTTCGCATCGGATCGCATGCAAACACAAAATTTAATCTAACCGGTTAATAACTGAGCTGAGTTGGAGTTGGCCTACAGTTATTTAACAACATAACATAACAGAACAACATAACATAACATAACAAATACATAAAAAATTGTTAAACAATAACAAATTAGCATCAGCCAGAATATAATACAAAAACATACCGCATATCGCGTCGAATATGGGGGTTCCCATAATTGCCTTCTTCCCGTTGCGGCCGGTAAGCGAGAGCTTCTCCGCCAGGGAGTTGGAGAGCAGCGCTCTCATGATGGCTCGCACATCTTTGTCCAAGTCTCCAGCATCGCAGCCGCACCATACGGTGAGATGCTGAACCTGCAAGCACAAGAACCGAATTGGCGTCGGAAAAACGTTTGTTTGTATTTAACCCTCGCCGGACCTAACAGAGTTATCAAAAGTTTGTCCCATAACCCAGTACTGGTATTTAAATTTGAAAAGGTGCACCGTCATTTGGAAGGATGTCAGCAGTATTCTTATAACTTCAAACTTTTCATTACAAACATCGTACTTACTAGTCCGTTACTCAGAGCACGGTCTTGGTTGACCTTGTCGAACTCCACCATCTTCTTAAGTGGCAGTTTTGGCGGTTCCAGGCCTCCGACCGCTCCATCCGATTGAAGGGCCCGGATGGCCGCCCCGTTGGCCTGAATTTGGGCCCCCATCACCTTAACCTCCTTCGTCAGGCGGGTTATAGCCATGAGTATGCGGCTCTCAGCTGCCAAGAACGACAATCCGTTATTATTACTAACGCATAGACACTGCTCATCCCCAACATCCCAGAAACTCGTGGAAATAGTTGTAGTTTCTGCTTATTTTTAAATGACTCAGCAATGTTGTGTGAAATTGACATTGTAAATTACGAAAAGAGAGAAGATGCATCTTGGACTTCAGGATAGTGTTGTATTGTGTGGCCAGCAAAGATGCATTAGGTATGTTGTTACCTCGGGCGTATCCTTCTTGATCGTTGCCGTTGGCAGTGGACGTCCTGCCGGGCATGCTTCCTGTGGCCGGCATCTGCTCTCCTGTCGGGACATGGCAATTTATAAATAAATTAACAAATTATATTAAACATGCATTTATCGTGCGGTGACATGGAGAGAGAGAGGGAGAGAGAGAGAGAGAGAGAGAGAGAGAGAGAGAGAGAGAGAGAGAGAGAGAAAGAGAGAGAGAGAGAGAGAGAGAGAGAGAGAGAGAGAGAGAGAGAGAGAGAGAGAGAGAGAGGGGGGGGGCTGACAACATCCGAGAACTGTGGAACGTGTTTCCTGTAATAGCAACATTAATTTAAGGAAAGTAAAACATTGCGTAAATTCAGACACACCTTCCAGGCACAGGCCCTCTGGCGGCGGCGGAGGAGCGGAGAGCCTCCTGGCCGTCGGAGGCTGGCGCTGCCGCGACGCCGACGCCGGAGCAGCGACCGGACATGCCCGGGCCGTCGGCCCGGCGATGTCCTCGTCGCTGCTCTCTTCCTGGAACCGTGGGTTTGGTCTGCAATGAACGTCACAACATTGGTTAATTGAACAATTTCACGTTTAGCTAGACGTTATTATAATAATTACTTATTCATTGGTAATTCAATAATAGTTACAAGTGATATCACGAAAATGGAATCAATTGGAATCGATCCCTGGTCTGTTGTTCTGGAATAGGAATAAATGTTTTCCGTTTATACTGTAATCGGGACCGGCACCGTTTGAAATTGTTTCCACTGGAATTAGAATCGGACTCAGTTTCAGAAATTTCAAGTAAAATCTGAATCGATTCGAAGCCGTGGCGGATCCACTGGCCGCTTGCATTTAACACAGGCCCTATGGGTTATGGATTTTCAGTTGCATTATAAAACTTACTTGCGGCGACGGATCTCCGGCAGTTCAGCATCCATATCTGAGGTATCCTCCGCTCTGCGTTCCATGCTTTTGGCATCTTGGATGTCGTCTTTGTTGCGATGAACACGTTTTGGAGAAGAAAGGAAGATGCACGGAAAAGGCAAGGGATGTTGGATTAGGGTGGATGAACATTGTTCTGGTCCTCATGGGGATAAAAACGAGGAATTGGGTACTAGGGCTTCTAGGCACGCATTAATTTATACAGAACCGCTGGTACTGCGGGACAGTATAACTTCAGGCGCTCGCTCCTTGTGTCATCTAGCGGACAGAATATCGCAGGTACTGCGGGACAGTATTACCCACGGCGCTCGCAGTTTGTGCCATCATCGCAGGTACTGCGGGTCAGTATAACTTTAGGCGCCTCAAAAGATTGTAGCCGGCAGTTGGGTTATACACAAATGAGGTTCTCAAATGTGTCAACTATTGTGAAATGATTGAAAGTACAATATAGGTAGTCCTGATCGTAACGTATGTGGCCGTCTAACTTTTGCTGCCAATAGTCATTCGGAATCTGGTATCTTTACCGGCCGACTGACAAAAAAGACGTCAACAGTTTACGGTTTACGTCAACGGTTTACGAGTTGTGGGTATCGGCCAAACTTAGCCCACATTAGCCTGGGTCAGCTATGATCGAATTGAAGTCGATGGACGATAACTACATGCATGACGGCCAGGGACGCGGGAAGTAGGGTGCTCTGGGGGCTCGAGCCCTCCCAACGTAGATAATGAGGAGGCTGAGCCACCCCAACTTTAGGCACGTATCCTCTCTTGAAACCAATGCCCGGTTTGTTTTTCACTTAAGAATATCAATTGTGACAGGCGCACGATACGAGAGACATCTAGCGAACAGATAAAACTTCAGCGTCGTGTCGTGCGGTACAGTATATGGAATAGGCGCAAGATACGAGAGACATCTAGCCGACAGATTTGAAACTTTAGCGACGCGTCGCGCGGCGCAGCATGGAACAGGCGCACGCTTTAAGAGACATCTAGCGGGCAGATTTGAAACTTCATCGACGCGTCGTGCGGTGCAGCATGGAACAGGCGCACGATGCCAGAGACATTTAGCGAACAGATGAAACTTCAGCGACGTGTCGTGCGGTGCAGTATGGAACAGGCGCACGATACGAGAGATATTTAGTGGGTATTTTTTTTTTTTAACAGGCGCACTGTACGAGACCTGTGTGTATGTACACAAAATATATGTACTTTACCTCTATGTATGTACATTATCTGCATGGACTGATGTATGTATTTACGAGATCTGTATGACGAATGTGTTTAGAGCCAATTAACCCTCGCACTGCCGGGGGTCTGAGCCACCTTCGCTCTGCCGGGGGGGGGGGGGGGGGGAGGGGCACATATGTGCCCCCACCGGAGATCTCGAAAACTACGCAACGTAGCGACAAGCGGCAAACGGCGTTGGATAGGGCGAGACAAGATCTAGAGGAAATACAAAGGTTATTTTTGTCTCAGGTCAAAAACGAGGTCACCAGAGGTCACCGAAGACAAAATGTTACGATTTTCACAACCTTTATTTCGCAGTAGTTTTTCTGCAATAACTGCTCTTCCCGAAAAGATAGAGGATCGATTCAAACGCCATTGTTCTTAGCTCGTCAAGAATGATATACCATATGACCTCGAAAGGTCAAGTTTAAGACTTGACCTCAGGTCAAGGTCATGACCTCACCGAAATAGGTCATGTTGCATATCATTTGATGCGCATCGACGAGACAAACACAATGAACGTCGAACGGAGTCTCTATCTCAATTCAATCTCAAGTTATCGCACAAGAACCGTTGGTGACCTCAGGTGACCTCAGATGACCTTTTAGGTCTTTCAGGTGATATATTTCAGTTGAACCATCAACAGGGACCAATAATATCACATTTTTGTGCGTATTGGGCTAATTGGGTGGCATTCAGAGGGAGTTGAAATTTCTCCCATAGACTTACCTATAATGGGGAGGTCAGAAAAATGACCTGACCTTAGGTCACCGATATGATAATTCCGAGATATCAGTTTTAATGATGTTCATAACCTTCTTCCATCCTGTGAGTTTCAAACTGTTCCATTCACTGGTGTGGCCCTGGCGCACTCGCAAAGTTGAGAAAACACATTGAGGTCAATTCACTTAAACTGCTCTGGTGACCTGACCTTAGATGACCTGGGGTCAAAATTTTCACACAATGTGCGGAAATGTTGGGGAAACAGGTGTAAAAAATTTGGCGGCGCTGCGCGCCGCCGTTTTTCAGTTATCGCGGAAAAACCTCAGGGGGGCACATATGTGCCCCCTCCGGCAGTGCGAGGGTTAAAACAGTACTTTTTTTTATCTGCAATAACTACGTGCTTTCGAAAATATATTTCGAATTTCGATCACTAGTGTTCACTGTTGTTTGATTTTTGTTATCATTTTATTTCATATTTATTTTTGGATGATTTAAGTCCCTTTAAAAAATAGTGGCCCAAATCCGCGGAGTTTCCAGTTTTTGGCCTTAAAGATGAACTCCCTCGGCTAAAGCTTATTTCGCATTCACAACATAGCCACTGATCTGAGCCACCCCAACTTCAAAATAGTTCTCGCGTCCCTGATGACGGCGCACGTGCAAGACAAGGTGCAAAAAACGATAAGTATGGCAAGGGTTCTTACAAAGAAAATATCGCGAACAAAAGCAGGGCATCACAGGGTCAGAATTACACCGACTCAGAAATACACAGTAGTTACTCACCTGTCGAAAATATTGTCTTGGCCGGATGCAACGTCCACGCTGCATCCGGCGCCATGTGCTTCCGCATCATGTATGTTGTATTGCTGCCTCTCGGCGGCCAGCAGCACTCGCCGTCGTCGGAGTCGCCGCGCCACCAGGCACTCGAGACCGTGGCAACGGACCGTTGCCCGTTGTCGTTAAATTCGACAACTCTGAACATTCTGCTGAAAATGAATATATGCACCGATGCATTGATGGTAGAACACTTCTAGGAATTTTAATTTAAGATTAATTAAGCACGAATTTCAGCGACAAAAAGTGTTGCATAGGAAGAAATTATTTTAAAATATGTCGCGGCCTCCTTACTTTGTGAATTTCGACGTCCCAGTAGATTATATGGAACTCTGGCTTCGGCGGATCCAGGGAATGCCAGGGGTGCAAAAATTGGCCATCGAGGTGAGTTTTGCACCCCCTTTTGCTCCTCAGTCCTGTATACCCATATGCAGTTCTTGTAGAGATTCTAGACTTTGGCGCCCTTTTTGCACTCCCCTTTGGAAATTGCTGGATCCGCCTCTGAACTCTGGTGAGCAATTCAGCGCCTTATATCAATATTAAGTCACAGGTTTTTAATGCATGTCATATCTATGTACATAATATCACTAACGCTCCCGTCTGTATTAGGGCGGTGCTTTACCACCTAGCCAGCACGACCAGCACGCCATTATGTTCTTGTCCTGTTCCTGCTTCTGAATCATTCTGGTCAATCGTGTGACAACACCAATAAACCGATGCAAATTCTTTTATTTCAAATACTGTTCTTCGAAATAGGCCACACAGCATAGCATACAGCATGCCACAAGGCACATACCAAGATAACTACACACAGCATACAACGCCGAAACAATAATCATTCGTGCAAAATGGGGATAATGACATCGCTTCCATCAGCTTGGCTGGATCTCACACACTTCCTCCCACGGCTCAAATCCGCAATTGGAACGAGCTCCGGCTTCTTTGTAAGTTTGGTTGCCACCATGATGCCGATTTTATCAGAACTAAATGGGTAAGTGTAATAAGGTCTCAATTCTGCAAATTTTAGGGCTGCGACAAACACACCGGTAGCTGTCTTGATAACATTGCAGACAAGTATGACGGTTGAGCCCCCCAATAAAAAACAGTTGTCTCCATCCTTAGAAGAGACAAAATACCTGACCTGGCATTGACGGTGTTGCGTAAAACGCCCTTCTATGCCCTGAGGTACCGGCCCGTCCATGTGCCTCTTTCCAAGTGAAATAGCTGTTCCCGAATCATGCGTACGGCCATGACCTGTTCGTGCCAGTTCACCAAGCCGATTGATCAACTGCGGTAAAGGGTCATTTGGTCTTCTAACCATTCTTTTAAGTGAGTGTAGGTAATTCTCAAATGGGAAACACGAGACATTGTCTAATGCACCGTGAATCTCGGCGTCTTCGCTCAAGTGTATCAGACTATGCACATTGTACACTACGAATTGGCTTCCGAAAAGCTTTGCAAAGTTCTTCACAAATGTGCACATCAGGCCTTTTGCAAAGGCCGAATAGCGATATGCAAAGTCAGGACATAACAAAACCGTCATTGCGCTTGAAAAACAAAGAAACAAGTTGTACATGTCATCCGACAATAGCCCCTTCAAAACAACAGGTCCTGTATACAACATGAATGTTCTAAACTCCGTCGCCTTCCACATTCTATAGTCGTAGAGGCTTCTGGGCTTTCTAGCAAATTCCTTAGGAAAGCTAGAACCGAGCGCAGACAACCGACCCGAAATCCTCTCTGCAACTGAGGCCGGCAAACGAACTGTCAAAGGTCCTGACATCCAGAGGCGAATCATCAGTTTTGTCACCCCTAGACAGCACATGTGCATATAATCCAATGTGAAATCTCTAACCATGTTTGGGACTAAAGCTATCAAAGGAGACTGGAGCCGGTGATGATCAGCATCACTCATGGCAATAAAAGAGTCGTGGGTTCTCTGAGGAGCGTCGCATTCCGGAAATGTCATTCTACCAGTATCGTAGATCCCAGTTTGTGTACAACGCTCACATGCATTGTATCCACTATGTCCTTTAATGCCTTTCAAAAAGGCGCGAGCAGGAGCATCACAAATGAAGCATGCAATTTTGAACGGAACTGTCTGGCCAGCATATGCAATTCCTGTTTCTAAAAGTGTACGACATTCCTTGCTAAAGTCCTTCAAAAACTCCGTGAGGGGCGGTTTGTCCTTGCCGCAATACACTGCGATGGTAAAAACGTGCTGACCAGCATTTGAAACCATTCCCAGTATCGGCCACAGCACCGTGGACGTGCTTTTAAACAGTGGCAGTCCGTCGACATTTACCTTCAGACGCACTTCAGCTGGCCTAGGCGAGGCATTCTTGAAAACGTTTAGAACACTACGTGCGATGCCGAAGTAAAAATACTCCCCTGACCCCATTTTTACCAATTGTCTCGAAGACGACGCTGGTGTCCGGAGAAGAGTTCGGGGATCCAGGGGCACTGCTAATCCAAGTAGATTTAGAATGGCGAGTAGAGCTAATAACGCGGCATGAGAAATTCCGTAACGCACAGCCCAGTCTGCCAGAGCGCTGCAAGCGTTCGTGTCGCCCTTGGCATCTTCACCACCGTCAGAGAAGCTTCCGTCTTCGCCGTCAGAGAAGATTTCGTCTTCGCCGTCAGAGGAGATTTCGTCTTCGCCGTCAGAGAAGATTTCGTCATCATCACGCTCATCTTCTGCATGGGCATCAGACAGTGCTGGATACCACAGTTCGTCAGGCGGAGAATCGTATTGAAGACACTGAGGGCGGGTCTCCATAGCTTCGGTCTCCATGTCGAGTTCTGTCTGCACTCCTGTTGCGGTGGCGCCGTGGTCATCGTCACTGATGTTAGCAATGATCCTTTTTAGTGCGTCTCGGGTCTTACGATACTCAGTGCTGCGACTCTGAGCCATCTGAAAGCCACAGCAAATACAATAAATATTAGTATTGACAGGTAATATGTATGACAGTTGGCCGGTGCCATAGCAGCAATGGGGTACTGTCACCAGGGCTACGTAGTCGGAGTCGATCGGAGTCGGTAGTTTTCCCGGATTCAGAGACTCAGAGTCTATGTTTTTCACCGACTCCAACTCCGGACCAGTCAGTTTTTAATATGGATAACATTAGAAGCTGTTTTGACCTTTTCTTCGAAATTTCAAATTATTGTAAGTAAAAACCCATCTACACACATTTCGTCAACAGGTTCTCATCAGAATACAGCGCAAATATGGATACAAGATAAATTAATTAGGTATGCTGTTCACTTGGGTACTGGCCTGAGGCCTGACCGATGTTTGACAGTCCTTGGCCGAGCTCTGGCAGGGCCCGCTGCGGATCCTGGCCTGGCCGAGGCCTGAAAGTCCCTGGTCAAGCTCTGACCGGACCCACTGCAGGTCCTGGACTGACCCAAGGTCTGACTGTCCCCTGGCCGATGTCTGATCGGGTCCACTGCGGGTCCTGGCGTGAATTTAGGTCTGACAGTACCTGGCTGAACTCTGAATGTGATATATGTGATACATGTTATCTTTCATGATTGAATTTTTCATCCCTAAAACAGACATGCTAATTGCTCAAGCTCACCCATTGCTCCCGCCTGACTCACATCATTAATGGATTAATGCCCCAAGTATAATATTAAAATTTCCCAAATTAATAGTGCACCCCACCACCAGATCACAAAGTGTGGCATGTCATGTGCACACCCAAGTGCGCCCAGAATCTTGAGTCATTAGATTCTGAGTTTGGCCTCTGAATGATGTGTAAGTGCACGCCTGCATTTCTAGTGCATCTGAATTCCCAGTTCACTTTTAAGATCTGGTGTACACACCCACTAGGTCCCTGCATGCTTGCCTGGATGCCTGAGTGAAGAGCCTTGGGCACACCATCAGATCATTGAGCCTTGTCAGATCTGCCATTTTTTAGCCTGACCCTACCAGGTCAATACCTACAAAAGAAACCCATGTAGATAGCATGACTTGTCAGTGAGAATGTTGTATGAGTGATGGTTGTGCATGCATATTCTCTCATTTCCCATCTGTTTTCTATGCACCATTATGACTTGGACATAAAATATCTGTGTTACCCGGATATGCCTGCAACGTGAAAATAAATCAATAAATGATAATTGACCTGTCAGCATGTGCCATACCACAGACACTAGTTTCTGGACCAAATTTCGTGATTGATGTCCCTAATTCTACAAAATAGTTCCTACTCCTGTCCTAACCTAAGATGAAGGGCCCTACCCCAACAAAGTTTTGTCAAAAACAGCCACAGCCCACATACAAGGGTGGCGCCACCATGGGCTGTGGCCTGTGGGGGCAACTGGCAGGAGGCAGTGGGGGCACAAATACATGTCGGCCTACCACGGAACTTGGCCGAGCAAGAGCACATCCATTGACCATGAGGGGTCTTGCCCCCAGAAGTGGAAATGTGTGGCGCTGCCGCCGGCCACTGGCCACATATATTCAGACTGGCTGGGTTCCTCCCAAATTTATTGGTACTCTCTTAGCAGACGTCACCCGAGCTGCCATATATACGTCTCACGTGCGCAACAATTGTCTTTTCACGGTTAAATGTATAACAAAACATAATCAAACCTGACCTAACCTTACCTACAACCTACAACCTAACCTACCAACCTACAACCTACAACCTAACCTACCAACCTACAACCTAACCTAACCTAACCTACCTAACTGGATATGGCAGCTCGGGTGACGTCCGCTAAGAGAATACCAATTTATTTCACCAAAATATATTCTCATGGGGCCACTATATGAATCATCTGTACTTAACATTTTAATGCATAAACTAACTACAATCATCTCATTAATTTAATGACCTAGGATTGGAGAATCTGGGTGATAATTAATGACACACTGAGACATGTACAGCCCTCTGCAGACTGCGTGGTAGGTATTCTTTTTTCGACAAAACCGATAATAACTCAAAGGTTATGTTATTAGTCGGTCGGAACTCACTGCAAATAGATGCGCCATGCTCCACTCCTTCGATTAGGTTTATCAATAAACAAAGTTTACGCCTTGTGTGGCGACAAAATGCAAAAGTTTGTTTTGGGGGCAAATATAAACTTTTGGGTTTAATTGCCGAACTAGATGAAAAATGGATACGGTGATGATGCTTATCTAAGGGGCGGGGTCTAGCGCGTCTTGCTGTTACGATTTCCGAATGACCGATAGCATAGTATTCGCGTTATTCTCATTTTTGTCGAAAAAAGAATACCTACCACGCAGTTTGCAGAGGGCTGTACCTAAATGGCTTGAAAACTATGACCTTTCATTTTTATGTGCTTTTCAGTTTTCACTTTTCAGTCTATTTTTTAGACTCATGACCTTGATTGATTTTTTTTTGCTATGTGAAATAAAATGATAAGGCATTTCACAGTTGAACTGAAGACATGTTCTATTTCATTTGATCAAGATATATCTGAACGATTCATAATCAATTGTCCGATTTTTAACCCTTCTTGACATCTGCAGATGTATTTTAAAATTAATAACTTTTTTACCAGCATTCTTAACTTCTCATTATGGCCCAAAACCAATTCAACACCACTTGTTAAGGTATATCAGTGCCTATCATGCTGAAAATTGCTGACAGAAAAAAACTTTATGGTAGAATAAGTTCATTAAAGTGGGCACCGGCAACTTTAATCCCATTTTAATTCCATGCAACACTTATAGCGCTTATTCAAAAGTAAGTATACAAAACACCGGACCGCAGCGCCCCCCCTCTTCTAACCCAGAGACACGCAATCCGTCTTGATCGGCCAACATGAACGATCCCCTTTCCAAATCAATGTAAGTTATCACTATAATAAGAGTTTTCTTACCTTTTCTTCAATTTCTCGTAAGATGCACGGCTCTCGGCTTGCAGTTGCTTGGTTCACCTTGGTTCAACCAAATATGGCGCCGTGAATGTTGTGGCCAGCCGTGGCAAATATCGAGATAACAAGTACTAGTACTTACCTTCTTTCAAATTTGTTAACGACTTGCTGGAGGCTGGGACATTTTATGTAATAACATTATTTTTCATCGTTATATTTTCCCTCAAATACTACACATCAAAATTTAGATGATAGTTCGTAAATTATTCGTAAAATAATGGTACTTGAAGCATAGGTAATTGTACTTGCAATCCTTCGCGTGTACCCAGTAAAAAATACCATTAGAAATTACCAAATGGTTCCAAATGGGAAAAACCATTTGACTTATTGAACACTTTTCCAAATGGTTCCAAAGAGGTTCCATTTGAAATGTGTCCAATTGGCCACCAATTGGTACCAATTGGAACCATTTCATGACCATTTGAAATGTATCCAATTGGTCACCAATTGGTACCAATTGGACACATTTCAAATGGTCATGAAATGGTTCCAATTGGTACCAATTGGTGGCCAATTGGACACATTTCAAATGGAACCTCTTTGGAACCATTTGGAAAAGTGTTCAATAAGTCAAATGGTTTTTCCCATTTGGAACCATTTGGAAATTTCTAATGGTATTTTTTACTGGGCAGCTGGATTACCATTTGAAGATCCTTTTGAAGTCCATGCATTTCATCCACAAAATAAAAAACTGCACCGTGAATTATTTTTATTGTTTTACTCTGCAAGCTTATACATTTTCATCAGTACGTACCTACCAACATTAGACATTAACTACACATGGACGTTGTTGTTTGGTCAACACCACATCGATGAGGCGACTGCTATCAAAATCAAGAACAGAATTACAATGTAGTTATACACTGGGCCATACGCAAGGGCGGATCTAGGGGAACGTTTTGGGGGGGGTCACCAGTCGGCCGACATGCCAGGTCTGATGAATGAATTCTGACGACCGGGGGGGGGGGGGGGTAGGGAGCGAGTATGTCGAGATCAAATGACATTTGATCTTCGTCGTTTCTGAGTTGAAGTTTTATCGTAAGTCACTCGGCTCAGTAGTTTTAGTTAGTGAAACCCACCTATAGAGGAGCGTCGCCACGGATTTTTTTACTGGGGGGGGGGGGGGCGGATCGACCGACTTAAAAACCCAGAAGTAGTAGACATAGTTACCTCACTTATGCATTAGTCTAATGCCCAATGCATTAGTAGCATACAGTCACGATCTCTCTTATTGACCTGTGTATGAATCGGCGGCGCGAAGCGCCGCAAAAATTTGAAAAAAGTTGTCAAAACACAGCTCTAAAACACAAATATTACAACCCTTTTAGCATGCTAGTACAAGCCGGAGTTCCTTCACAGTGCACATATGAATTCCGATTCAATTTGACACGGTTGGTGTTATTACAGTCACGATCTCTCTTATTGATTGGTGTATAAATCGGCGGCGCGAAGCGCCGAGAACATTTGCAAAAGAATGTGTCAAAACACAGCTCCGCTCCAAAACACAAATTTTACCACCCTTTTAGCATGGCAGTACAAGCCGGAGTTTCTTCACAGTACACATATGAATTCTGATTCAATTTGACACGGTTGGTTTATGTAATTACAGTCACGATTTCATATTGACCTGTACGTATGTACATGAATCGGCGGCGCGAAGCGCCGCGAAAAATTTGCAAAAACATTTGTCAAAACACAGAGGGGGTCTCCTCTCTACAGAGGACCACCGATCTCTACTGCGGGCCTCCTCTTTTCACAGGGCCTCTTAACTACAGAAGGCTTCCTCTCTACAGAGGGCTTCCTCTCTACTGAGGGTCTCTCCCTTTCAGAGGGCCTCCTTTACAGAGGACCTCCTCTCTTCAAAGAGCCAGAGGACCTCATCTCTGCAAAGGGCTTCCTCTCTTCAGAGGGCCTCTTCTCTACAGAGAGCCTCCTTTCTTCAGAGGGCCTTCTCTCTACAGCGGGTCTCCTCTCTTCAGAGGGCCTTCTGCATTCAGGCGGTCTCCTTTCCACAGAGGGTCTCCTCTACAGAGGGCCTCCTACCTACTGAGGAGTCAGAGGGGCCGACACAGACACTAGCGGTTATTCACTGGAGGCCCCAGGAAGTAAGAAGGGCCCTAGCTGTCAGGCTGGTCAGAGTGCCCTGAATGTCCTGACGTGATTTTTGGGATTCCCGTGAATTTCTTTCGCCTCCGACGTGATTTTGACCTGCCAGGGCCCAGGGGCACTAAAAATAAAACAAACAAAATAAAAAAATGGAAATAGGACATCACCAAAATTAAGTGGCCGAAATCCGTTGAGTTTTTAATTTTGCGTATAGGTAGGGGCACCACGAATTAAATTCATGACCATCCCCTTGGAGTTTTCCTGGATCATCCCCTGGTGCTCGCACGGTTGAGACAAAAATGAGTAAGATTCTGGCCTTCAATACGCCTTTTCACGCAACACGATCCAGAAAAACAAAGGTATTAGCTCAGAAGTGTTTGACATGTGATTTTGAGCATGCAAGACGGCGTCTATAGCGCATTTAGGTCTTCGGCTTTTGGGGGGGGTCAAATGACCCTCTCAGACCTTTTGGGGGGGGTCATGACCCCGTGGACCCCCCCCAGGATCCGCCACTGGCCATACGTACGCTATTCCACATAGGCACAATGAACGACGTGATACAATATCATTCCGATCGGTGATACTGTCTGTTGTTCTGACAGATTTCTTAATCTTCCGTGGCGATCAGAATTTTCAGAAGTCAGAACGTAGCTATAATGCAGGCATGCAGCCCATCTGGACCCGTGTAGAACCGGTAGACGGCGTCTGTCTGGTGCAAGTTCGTGCCTGCAACAGTACAGGACAGCACGGGTTAATTGGGCGATGGGATCAAATTAATTACCACACAGGGTCATTTGTCAAATATCACAATATAATAACTTTAAGCTCATGCAACTTGCATTGTCATTTAGGCAGCCTGAGCACAACAAATATGGCACTGACAATTTTCTGCTGGCAAAATAAATTGTGATCGCTAATTTTAAGCCTCTTTCTCACCTCTGTTAAACTCAGTAAGGTACTTACAAGGATGCCAAATGCAACCAAATTTATTCAAATAACTATTTTCAGTATTTGCAGTCGTAAAACGAATATCGCATACAGAGGCACAAGAAAAGTCACTCACCAGCCGCGTGATTCTGCTCAGCTTCCTCTTTTACAGCAGGACTGGGTCCCGGTCGACCGCGGGCAGTCCCAGGCCCAGCGAACGCGAAACGGAGGCGCGCCGGCCGGCCGGCCGACGTCGACGCCCGGTTTGAACTGTGGCGCCGGCGCGGCCGGCCGGGCGCCAAGCCGCCAACGGTCGGGCGCCGCCAGCGTAGGCACACAGAGAAAAAGTAGTGCCGTTTAAATGAGCGGAAACGACGTGAATTTTTCGAATCATTTTTATTTAATGAAAAACCAAGGTCTTGTAGTGATGCTTATCAAGTATAACCAGTCAAAGGTCTTCCCATTACCTCTAAGTCTATTATTTAAGCAAATGTTTAAAAACCATTAGAAACCATTAGGGTACCAATTGGGAACTAATAGATACCCAGTCCATACTCAAAACACACTTGAAACCATTAGAGACCATCAAGGTAGAAACACTTTTGAAGCATACTTGTCACACATCTGGAAACAGGGCTGCAAAGTGGTGGATTTATGACTCTAACTTCGACTCTGACTCAAAAATTGACTCCAGCTCCGACTACGGTTCGGACTTTGCTTTTATTCATCTCATGAAATAAAAGTTATTGCCATATAAGTATGTTTTTTCTTGCCTAAAACGACCCTTGAATGCTTTTCAAATGCATTTTTCATTTCGACACCAGTTGAAATAGAATGGGAACACCATTTCAAAACAGATTTGCTTTTCCATTTGGGAACCATTTCGACACCAATTGGGATCAAATGGGAAAACCATTGTCAATTTCATATCAAATAGGAATATATCTTCCAAATGGAAACCATTTCAATAACAATTGGGATTAAATAAGACACGCTTTATCAGATAAAATTCTATTTCGAGACCACTTGGACAATTTAGATCAAATATGAATATCTCCCGACTCCCAAATAGAAACCATTTCAAAACCAATTGGGATGAAATGGGACAAACCATTTGGGATGAAATGGTTTTCTTCCATTTGGAGACCAATTGGACACCAATTGGGATCAAATGGCAAAACCATTTGAGATCAAATGGGAAAAACCATTTGAGATCAGATGGGAAAAACCATTAGATACCAATTGGGATCAAATGGGAAAAACCATTAGATACCAATTGGGATCAAATGGGACACACCATTTGGGATGAAATGGTTTTATTCCATTTGGAACCAATTGGTATCAAATGGAAAACCATTTCAGACCAATTGGGAAGTTACCAATTGGAAACCATCTCGATACCAATTGGGGACATACCATTTGGGATCAAATGGAAAGCACCATTTCAGACCAATTGGGAAATTACCAATTGGAAACCATTTCGATACCAATTGGGATCAAATGGGACACGCCATTTGGGATGAAATGGTTTTATTCCATTTGGAACCAATTGGGATGAAATGGAAAACACCAATTGAAATCAAATGGGATTTATTTTCCAATAGGAGACCATTTCAAAACCAATAGGGATCAAATGGAAAACACCATTTCGGAGCAATTGGGAAATTACCAATTGGAAACCATTTGGATACCAATTGGGGACATACCATTTGGGATGAAATGGTTTTATTCCATTTGGAGACCAATTGGACACCAAGTGGGATCAAATGGGAAAAACCATTAGAGATCAAATGGGAATTTCTTCCATATGGAAACCATTTAGATACCAATTGGGACCAAATGGGACACACCATTTGGGATGAAATGGTTTTA